CTCCCACACAACAGACATGGTTTTTTTGCCGTTCTTACAGATAATGGTACGGAACCCTTCGTGCGAGAGTCCGACTCGCACTTGGCCGGTTTTTTTAAAACTATTTTAGTTTTTCTTTTAATACATTTACATTAAAAAAACATTTTTCTTCTGTATAAATGTTGAAGATGTAATGCAAGGTTCCTCATAATATGCGGTTTTTATAGCAACTAAAAAATCAAAAAAATTATATAATTTATTTTTCATACGATTTTGAAGCTTACATTTTGTTGTAATTCGTCAGTCACAGATATTTGCTAACTATTTCATTGAAGAAAAAATCATAAAATTATTAGTTTGTATAAATAAGACATACACGAAATTTCTCTCATTTGTTCTTGTCATAATTAAAAAAGTTTAGCTTAAAGCAACATAAATATTTCATGAGTGTTTCATATTTAAACTGTGATGCAATTAGATATTAAAACTTAAAATAAAAATTTTTCCTCAAACAATTAATGATATTTTCTTGTATTTCAAAAAATAATATTAGAGTCATAAAAATATGAAACGTTAAAAAATTACTTAAATTATTATTTTCTATGCGCAATAAAATCGTACAAAATATTAAAATATTCCAACTAATTTCTAACTATTTACAAGCATTTAGAATTTTTAATTTTTACTGTACATATTATAACATATTGATAAAAATTAAACAGATGATTTCTCATAAATTGTGCTTATAACTATATATAAATATATCAACAATTCATTGGCACAATTTGTTTTCACATTGCGATTTTCAAAATATTTTATTTTATTGTATAAAACACTATGAATCTATACAAGCAGTTCTGTTAGTTATACATGGTATTGACAATCATAAGTTAATAATCACAATATATGATATTATATAATAATATAATAAATTTGACGTTTTTGTAAAAAAAAATTCAACACACTGCATTACTTTTCGATAGGAAAACAAATTACTAACGTAATAAATAAATTATAAAATATCCTTACAAACTAAGTGAATATTAGACATATTATTATTAAATTAATATTATATTTTTGAACTTAATTTGATTATTATTTATTTAATACTGTTTAAAACTAATTTTAACTTAAGAATGCATTATTAATTTGAATTTTTTATTTCAATTATCTATACCACAAATAATTACACAATCTATAAATAGACTATGCTTCCCTTGACAGATCTTCGCTATGCAAAAATGTACTAACTATATTCATTTGCTCTTTGGTTAGCGAAAAAAAAATTTATATTTTTGCCGTTGATTTTTACGGAACAAATTTAACTTAGATCTCACATATTCCTCTCTGTTTCACATCTGAACATATATATAAAGGTTTTTGATTTATACTATATATGTATTTATGTATATATTTATGCATTTAAATTTAACCAAAAATGCACTAAGGTAATATGGTTGATACTTATCAAATGTTATTTTATTAAGTTACCCAAATATCTTTGGTGCCGACTTAATACTCAAATATCTAATATTTTCATTTTTTTTTTATAGGTAGTTAATAGTTTTATATAATAAATATTTCATAGATAACAGTGCTAATAGGCCTATCATATTTTACATATACGTATATCAATATTTGTGATTTATATTTTATGCATTATGTTTTTCACTTCTTTTTTCTTATAAATTATTAGATAAATATCGTGAAAATTTTGTAGGTGACTGAGAAAATAATACTAGCTGATCTAAATTATTTTCACAAATGTGTTGATAATTTATAGGTACAATATGCACTATTAATAATTGTCCATTAATGGCGTTGACCATACTTATTCTTTAATAACAAGCCTGACGTATTAATACTGTTTATTAAATTACGAGCTGTGTGTCCAACATCTACAAAATAAGTACCTATGTTTATTTGTTGAACTTTAAGTCAGCACGATTATCATCAATGAGTTCCCACCTTTCGTAGTTAGATAATTAGTGCTCGAAATTTAACGGAATTTATATTAAAATTATTGCAATAATCTTGTACTTGTACATTATTATTTATTAGACATTAGGTAGTGTTTATTCTATGTAGCACATTTTCAATGTCAATCAAATTGTCAACTAGTTGACATTGGAACCGCGGCCATTGGTGTCATCGATAAATTATTAACTGCAACATTTACCCACACAAAATAGTTTCTCATAAAATTAAAATTAAATCGGTATTTTATCAGTGCGTATGTGTTATTTGATAGTATTATAGACGATCCTGTGTTTCCTGATGCGCATTAGTGTACAATAGTACTCATAATACCTATTACCTATATTATTGTGTGTGTGTGTGTGTGTGTGTGTGTGTGTGTGTGTGTGTATGTGTGTGTGCGCATGCGTGTATTCGGTACATTAATTAGTAATTACAACGCGAGACTTTTATTTATGATACTGCAATAGATATCCGTATGATTTTAAGCTTTCTAGCGCTTTTCGTGTACGCACTGTGAGCAGGGGTGGCGGTTTGGGAGGGCAGTCTTGTAAAATTACCGACAACCACCCGTTTGACTGGTCTATAACATGATCAAACTTGTTAAAGTTTCAAGGATGTATTTCGATCAGATAACTACGCGCATAATAATAATAGCCTATAACAACTGCCAGCTGATAGGTTTTACATTGAATTATTGAGGAAGTACAAACGAGACTCTCTAGACAACAGCGCAGGAGAGAGAGAGAGTGAGAGAGAGAGAGAGTGAGAGTGATAGAGTCAGAGAGAGGAATACGAATATTGTTCGTGTATGTGGTCTGTTAGATTCTATCGTGAGATGCAGAAGAACCAGGAACAAGGTCGACTCGGTGGCGGCGACAAGTATATACCGACTTTATAATCCGTTTTATGTTTTTTATTATTTAGCAAAGTAGATTTACAATATAAAAACAACTATATCATGTAGGGCTTGAACGCACGTATATGATAATATGATAGGTATCTAATAAAACTTTATTTATTAACTAGTAATTTAATTTATTTCGCAACTGTCTATTTTCAAAAATAATGTTTGCATCAATTACGCATAAATTATCAGATATTTACGTGCTCATCTTAAAGTGTAGCGTCATAAAGGTTCGTTTATATAATAATATATATATAAAAGAATAAAGTATTTACTATACATATTTGTCACAATCTAAACTTCTGTCCCAATAAGTAAGTTTGAATAAAATGGACAGTTCGATAGACTGCTTATTAGATAACTCATATTTTTACTTCTATATATTTTAATTCTCCGATTGTATACCTAGGTACCGGTAGATTTTAATTGTATGTATATGCTGTACATGGTACAGAATGTCCTCGCTATACAATAATAACTAGCCAATAATTAATAAACTATAAAGTTTAGCCAAAACTTCTATTCCCTATAGTGCACACTCTATTTTTCCAAGAAACTCGTCCAAGTGCACCTACATACTTGTGATATATTGAAAATGATTTTATGCGTTACACAATAAATTGTATTGATGACAACATTATTAGTTATTCCCAGGTAACTCGTTTGTCAAGGTGTGTAACGTAGTTATGTATTTATGTTCTAATAGTGTGTACCTATAGACTTAAAATGATTTTAACGACAGGACAACATTATTATTATTGTAAAAACGTGTAAATAATAATAACGATGTTATACACCTTATACTCATTACTCATAACATAGTATATTAACGTGTATCCTGCAGCTTGTAATAAAAAAAAAAACTGTACCTACATTTTTATAAACGCTTGTTGTCGCTTTATTATTATTTAAATACAATTAATTTTAAATTTTAAGAATGATTTGGAAAAAAAGTTTTACATTAAACGAAAGTATAATACGTATACCTCAGTAAACTTGAATTATACCTAAATTTAAAAAATAAATAGTCTCTAAGTAAACTTTCCAAATGCCTAACGATACGATATTAAAACAACAGCTATTATGTGTGTAGAATAAATATCTAAGACATTAGTTATCTTAAAATTTCATCTGCACACCAGTTCGCTGGTTGACAATTCGAATAAAAAACCAATGCCGTCATAGCCGAAGAATAAACCCTGAATGAACTCGTTGTGTATTAATTACTATCATATTATTAATTATTATCAAACCATTAAAATTAGCCAAGTATACGAACGAGTATACAAAAAACATTTTAAAAGCTATAATTAGCTAAATAGATATTTTAATATTTTATAAGATTTCAAACGTATTGTAAATGGTACTCGTATGCCATGAATACGTTTATACTTCAAAAGAGGTTGACCTTTACAAAATGTCATATTATTTGTACCTCCTGCATAAAATTAGGCACTTATAGTTAGTAATAATATAGATTATGAATAACGTCGAGAATTCAAATTCGAATTTAGTGTATTACTATTGATATACATTTACTTAATAATTACGGTATGGGCACCTAGTGTATATTATGATAATGAGTATAAAACAACTCGCACATAAATATTCAATAACACGAAATACTGAGGTGTAATATATTGTAATATTGTATGCATATCATTAAAATATATTCGTAAATCTGACGGACACCGTATGTGCCCGTATACGCATAAAGATTAAAGGCGATGTGAGATTTCGGACAAAGGTCGTCCGTATAATATAATATAGTATACTGCTCGACGATGGTATATACATAATATACTCTATACATTATGATTTATATATACATAAATATGTACCTATTAACTGTAGAATTTTATTGTATACGCGTATATAATATATGGACGGGCGCACCACTATAGTGTACGTAAATGTAATAATAATATTACGTACCCGCGAGCGAGTGCACACGTCGTCTCGATCGCAATACAGTCGTCTGACGACGACCCTCCCTAAAATGGCGCTCACCCACAGCCTGCACCATCGCGTGCCCGGCAAACGTCCGTAAGCATTACTTACACGTCCGTGTGCACACGATCGACCAGGGACTCGGATATATCTACACTTACACACACATTTCATATATATACGGTATAAACACACGTATATGTATAGGTATATCGTTATTGCCCGACCAGACCACACACGACACTCGCGGTACACCACACACACGCATGCTCCACTACGCTGACATTATTTTCTGACACTACATTTCCACCGATTTGTCGCGTATATATAATATACAAAATGGTAATAATAACGTATCTCTTCGCCGACGCCACAGTCTGTTCAAACTCCGCAGTAGTCGGGTATCTGCAGTCGCGTCTAGCTCCCACGTGTATTTTGTACGTCATAATAATAATAATAATAATAATAATAATAATACCCGGCAGTGTGTATACATTATCATAGTATGTTTTAAGTGCGATGGGACTTTGCGCGATACGATTGTGTGTTACAATGTGTATGGAAATCGTGTGAAATTAAATATTTGATACGGATTAACCGTCGTCGCATGATACTCGCTTGCTCATCTACTATTACCAATAATTGGGGTTGATGAGCGCATAAATGTTTTACCTTCCTATATCATAATTGTATACGTTCATATTACACACAATCCGCATAATAACAGACGCCTCGAGATCAACGGTCTTCCGCGATCCCGTCGTACGGAACGACGCCGAAATCGTATAATAATAATTACTTGTGGCAAAATCGTATACATTTATACCGCCGAGCACCATTATTTAAGTGTTTTTTGTCACGATCGTAAATGAAATTTGTATTATATTATAATGTATAATATTGTATAATTTTCATGTAACATAGGTACACACGCGCCGCACGCGTTTATAATAACTTTGGCCGAACGTTGTCGTGTCCAACAAGGTCGTTGTTATTGAAGATCAAGGTCCCTCGACGTTAAAATTATATTATAATATACTTTATTACAACTTTTTTTATTATTTCTTTGTTGTTTTTTTTTACTCGTTGTAAATTGTAATAAAGGGGTTGTCCGTGAACTTCACAAATATTTGCATTTCCCCGTATTTTATGTTTTAACATAAAAGCAATATCCAGACAAGTTGTCCAACCGCCGCCTGCCATGACATCGACGCTGTACAATAAGATTGGACTTATACCCAAGCAGAAACCGATTAGAGTAATGATAATGGGACAACCCGGAGTAGGGAAAACTGGTAAGACACACAACAATAAAAATATCTAGTGTGACCATTCGATTTATTTATTTTGTATACTCGTTTGGACACAATTTATAATTGCATTAAAAAAGATTTATACCTACATCTGTTTGACAAGGATGCGCATCTGTATACTCTTTCCCTCTTTACATACGTAACATACTTATATAATATACAGGTATTACACTTTAGGACGTAATATGTGTGAAAAATGTGTACAATTGCTTTACCCTCTTGCATTATAATAATATAATATTTATGTGTGTTGCAGCGCTATTGGTGAGGTTTGTGACGAAAAAGTTCATCGGTGATTACGACCCGAACCTAGAGAAAATGTACACGTACCAAGTGTCAATGGAATCGGAAATGGTGAACTTCGAGATATTGGATACCGCCGGATACGTACAAGATGTAAGAAAATGCCAGTCGTTTTTCTAAAATCTTTTCATTTTTTTATTTTATACAAGCGCCAATTAATGACACCGGTTGTATGTATTAGAAATCTTGCAACTTGGAAATGAACATGCGCTGGGCCGACGTGTTCATATTGGTATACTCCATTACGGACAAATGTTCGTTTGACGATTGCAGTAGGCTCAAGTTTTTGATTAACTACAACAAAAAGAAACGTCGTCTCTCCACTAAAGTAAGAATTAGGTGAAAAATATTTGAGCCACCGCTGAAATTATTATATAATTATATAACGAGATAGTAGATTTATACTGTATACACGAATATACGATATAATATTGTTATGCTGAATAATTTAATTATTTTTTAATACTGATGACCAAAATATGCAACACAATATCGCTATACGTATACGGTAAACGAATGCTCAAAATAAAAAATAATGCATTGGAATTTATAAAAAAAAATGTTTTTCGTATGTATGAATTCTACTATAGATATTTTTCCTCTGCAAAGTACGTTATGAATTATAAAGTGTTTGCACTACACATATTATAAGCGTTACATAGATCGGCCTCCCTAAAATCGGTCAGAAAAAAAGTTTTGGCCAACCTAAAAACGTATTTATGTTAAAATGCAGAGTACTACTTACCTACCATACTCTCGTAGATGTGAAATGGAATACGGATCTTACTATACGATAGTATTATAATACATATAGTGGACTGCGATATAGTGCAATATCACAGACAATATCAAAAATCCATCTGTGATTTCCAAAAGAAAAAAAAAATGTTAAATTATTAGTATTATTAATTTATCGATTACCTAATTCAGAGTGGTCCAATCTTTTGTAAATAGCTAACTAATTTACACATTTATAAACACTAAGGGGGGGCTACCAAAAGAAAAAAATATTTAATATTTTATGAGAATAGAATATAATGCACAAGTATTATACCGCCATATAAGGTAAAAGCATGCATCAAAACTTAAGTACATCAAAACCAAGAAACACCTATGTACCATAATACCTCTATATTTTATATTTTTCATTGTTTCATGGGCGAAGTCAAGTTATAGAGCTAAAAATGGATGTTTGTTGTAAAAATGGACCATTTTCAATAAAAGTTATATTAATAGATTCCTGGAAACTTTGAGGATGTTTATAGCGGAATAAAAAAAAATGCATCTGTGAGCTACCTTTTAACACAAGGAGTTGAAAAAATAGGCTATAGGCACGTTCCGATTCTCAAATCTCAAGGAATCTATTGCTTTTTATTACTTTTATTGAAAACGGTCCAGTAGTTTTTTTGTTAATTAATTACAGACAGACCAAAATCCATTTGTATGTATATAAATAGATATTGATGTTACACATTGTTCACTTATCTGAATTACTAATATAATTAGTGAGTACCTATTATATAGTATAGTATTAGCCATGTACGGCTTATATGAGTTGAGAATCTCAACAAAATATATAGGTATCTACTCGAAGTAGCCTACTTCTTTATAATCTTAATGCCCAAACGTGATATCTTTTTAAGTATATGGTGTGCCCCAACTTAGTGTGTGTGTGTGTGTGTGTATTTTGAATGCCCAACAGGTAAACATTTTCAGTCATGCTGCGCCGCTGCATTTTACCTCGTAAATGGATATTTGGGGGCGGCGACGGGTGCTTACCAACTTAAAAAATGGGTTTTCGGGATATTATTGTATAAACAATAATCTACTTTAATACGACCACGATGCATGAATATTACTGTACATACCTATAACCTATGCTATAAATTATTACAGTACCCATATACTATGTAGTATATACCTAGTACCTAGATAAGCTTACAAACAACCAAGATGGTGATAATCACCTATTACGTTATTATTTACAGAAAGTGCTTTCCGTAAAAGAGATTGATAGATAGTCGTTACATATAATCGTTATTAATTATAGTTGTTGACTGTACTGATGAATATTACATAAATTATAAAAGTCATTGTTGACTAACTATAATCATTTTTACTGTAATTATTTCTGGTGGTTTTTTTACACCTCTAAGACAATATTAGGTACCTATCATAAATGAAGAGGTATCATAAAAACCCGTGTTGTTAATTGCACTTAATAATTATAATCGCATTACCTATAAATTTCCATACATTAAAAATTATATACTGCTTAGTGCTTGTTAGTGGGTACCTATACCCATAATGTAACAATTTATCATAATTTATTAAACTCTAAGGATTCTTTATATAATTTACCCATAGGTATATATTTTGGATTTTTCACTTCAGTGATCAAATGTTTTCCTTACACAAACTGGTTTGCCTAATATGTATTTTAATTAGATATTTTATTTATGAATTCTGCTTTATAGATATTATCATATATCCTCAACAATATTATTCACACATAAGTGCAACATTTTCATTTTTCTAAGGTTTCTCTGTATGATACTTTATACTCTTGCCGATCAGGTTCGTCCATCGTGAAGTAGTGGCTGCAGTGCTGCACTCAAAATATTTATGGTAACCACTGACCAGTGACCAAATATCAATATAGATTATCTATAAAGTATAAAGTATTAGCCTAGCTGTGTTATTAAAATATCATTTTATGTGATTTGTAGTCTAAGATTCGGACATGTTTACCATGTCATTCATGTGTGATGTGTTGATCATTATTCCATTCCATTTATCATTGTTTATTTTAACGATATTTCTGTATTTACTTAACTGTGCACCTACTACAATTTCGTACATGAACTATGTTTTAAATAGTTATAACTTATAGCTATACTTTTATAGCCTATACGCAGTAAGCAGTAAGAACTAACTACTGCAATTATAATCATGTTATTTATTTTATGTCTTTATTATTTTCATTGCATTATTACTGTACATAAATTACTTCCTATATAGCCTGCAGCTAGTTACATATTATAATATTAATAATATCTACATCTAGTGTCGGCCTGGTACACCAAAGGCCCATGGATCAGTTTTTTAATGGAGCTTTTAATGAATGGCCTTGGGCCCTGTAAAGAAAAATTGTGATTTAAAATTATGTACGTTCAAATATTTTGATAGATATATTACGGAGTCCCTACTACTAATCAAAATTCTCCCTACATAGACCAGAAACAAGCCAAGTGAACAGAAAAATTTAAGAGACCCAAAGAAAGGGGGTAGGAGTTCAAACCGCATTTGCAGCTCAGCGTCCATAGCCATGCTAACACTGCAGAATATATTTAACTACTAAAATTACTTCCTGTAGATGCATATCAGTATATCACATTAACACCTACTACTTATCTTAAATAATTGTTAGGATTTTTTTCATTTAGTTTTTATTTGTTTTATATATTTTGTAATAAATTTGAATGTTCTTCAAATTATATAATTTTAAAACGAAATCATTTTTATGTTTGCCTATATTTTTGTTTTTATCGTAATAAAATAATTTTTTTTAAACCTAAGCATTCTCTGCTGTGTAGTACATTTTGAGTGAAGGTACCTCATCGTTATTGAGTATTTCACTGTAATGATTGTATTCAATTTTAATACAGTGATAAATTATTGTATATTTCTGTTGGAACGTAAAACAATTTTGAGCAAAAACTGTTTGTCAATCTAAGTTTAAGGATTTTTTTTTATATATTTATATTGCAAATAGTAATTAATTTTTCTATAGGGAACACGTAGATTGAACTAATTTTTGACAAAACTAATTAAATTGTAATGTTGCACATAGATATAGTACAAATATATTATACGTAAGTAGTACCTAATTAAAATAATACTAGCTGTTAGCTTACGACAAACAAATCACATATAAGTATATTTATTTATTATAATTAATGGAACAAGCCCTTTTTATTCATTATAAAAACACACAACATAATATTAAATACAGGTATTATAGTTAATATTATTATTACTACAAATAAGGTAGAAATATTAAGTTAGCCTGGATTCTTCTGCTACTCGGTGTATCTAATGTGGCCGTTCTAATATCGGCGTGAAATCATGTAAAATCACAATAAAAGCAAAATATGAGTATTTCAAAAATGTAGGCTCCACGTAGGCAATCTAGAAACTGCAATGAAAAATTATAATTTATATTATAATAATTACTAAATATTATAATTTATTATATAATTTAATATATTATTACTAACTATTATTAACTTATAAATCCATACTAGTGCACCAAAGAACGATGGAAATAGGTTCGTATAAATTGCTTAAAATTAATAATTTTTTTAATATCGAATTTTGTAGAAATTTAATTATGAAATATCTATAAAAAAACTGTTTAGTTTTATTTTTGAGCTTTTTAGATTTATGTAAGATTAACTTATGAGAAACCTTGTATTACATTTCAAGCCTTAACTATAAAAAAATGTATACATTTTTAAGCTTTTATGATTTTATGATTTTTCATTATTAACTCATCACTTAATTTATTTGTACGTTCAAATATATTTTTACAATACCATAGATATAATTAAATACCTATTCTTATATGTATCAACACTATCAACTAATATTATGTACACATAACACATACCTCATGCATTTATAATTGTTTTAATATTTTGAATTTTTTAAATCTTGTCTGCTTATTGTGATAATATTATCTGAAATCTGAATTAATATGAAATAAGAATGTTTATACTTTATATTGACATTAACTTCAACATTGAATAAATTGTAGACCTATGTACCTATGTAGGTATAGTAGGTACAGTTTAGAACACTATAGGTACTCGTAACGTAATACACTAATACTGTAATTGATAATTTGATAATTGACCTGATCCTAAGGATCATCCATTTGATGTGCCAGTGATACTAGTTGGTAACAAAGTGGACCAACAATATGATCGGATGGTGACGTACGCTGAAGGTCGGAAACGGTGCCAGGAACTTGGGTGCGTGGCTTTTCATGAGATTTCAGTGCGGGAAGATGTCGATCAGGTTTATGAAACTTTTTCTTAGTTTTGTAGACTTTTTTTAATTTTAATTGTATTTACATTTTATAATATACACAATATATACATATTTTAGGCATATGCAGTATTTAAGGAAGCGTTCACATGCTGGAAATCAATGTCTAAAAATCCAAAACTAAAACGTTCTTCTTCTGATCACGGTGCAGAAGCACTCTTCAATTCAGCATCTAGATTCATAAGTATTTAATATTTATTTATTTATTTTTAATAAGTATACACGGTCATGTGCTCTTAATTACATAAACATAATGTACCTACAAATTTAAACTTCATATTCAAAATAATCCTAAATTTATTGAATGTCAAAAGTAGAAATAGTAGTGCACAACATAGTATCCACGTAACGGATTCATTGCGCATATAGATGATAGTGGAATGAGGAATATAAAAAACTATGAAGAAAAGTGAAATCTTAAATGGCCAGAACCCGCTGATTTTTGACAAAACCTTAACGATTTTTAGGAAAATCCGTGATCCACTTAGAATCCTATTCTGATAATTAATAATTATTCATTTATACCCAGTTCAAATTCAAAATTTCCACTCTGGTAGGTACTATTTTCGACAGCCTCAAAGCTGCTTTTTTGATTTAAAACGTAATCTATAATTGCGATTAAAATATTAAAACGCTTTTAATATACTTTAATAAATACTTTTTACTTTTATTCACGTTAGGTATATATTTTTTAATTTTTTTTCATTATACACAATTTTTGTTTCAAACGAAATTAATTAAAAAAAATTTTAATTCGAAGTTTTTTAAAAAAATGATAAGTATGATTCAAGTTTAAACTTAAAAAGAAAAGGTTTGATAAAAAAAAATTGTTTCACTGTGCTACATGTTGAAAAAAGGGTTAAAAATTGGATTTTTTTTGTTCAAAAATAAGTGGAATATTAAGTGCCGTATACAGTTTAAAAAAAACTGTGTCAAATTAAAGGTCATCTGGCTGAAATATATTTTAGTATTACCTTAAATCTCGATCACACTATGTACCTAAATTATATATGTGAAAAAGATTAAAATTAGTTTTGTTGTTAAAGCTAGATAATAAAAATTGTATTTGTAATTAATTATTATAAAATGCGCAGTTACCTAAATAGATGTTAATAGTATACGTCCCTGATTAATATTCAATGTTAGATTTATTTTAATAATTTATCTAAACATTCTGACCAGTGACCATCTTAAACGTGCCTATGGCAAATATTTTTTGATCGTATATTAGTTTCTATAGCCGATAATATAGAATATTAAAATATATATGGGTAGGCAATAAATTAAATTTACTATAAAATCGAATGTTTCTCAATATTACCGCCACGCGCTCCACTGCATAATAATAAATTATAAAATAATATTATGGCGGCCCGGTAACCGGACTCCGGTTGTACTGCAGTGTGAAATGTTAATATTATTAACTCTTAGGTACCTAAACTTTGGTAGCCTTAACACTTGTTTCTAGCTGTAACATATTTATAATTATGTAACTATTTAAGTATTGATATTATACAAAACAATACACATTGAACATTATTCTTTATGAAGGGAAACATTTCAATTTGTGTTGTTCTATCATCTCGTCCCTGAAAACCAGTATAGTATATAATAACCTATTATCAATTACTATTTTAATTATTATCACCACTGCAATATTTGTATTGATAGTTTATAGTTTATTAATTAGGTATTTAAAATTTAAACTAATTTATACTCAAAAAATGTAAATAGAAATATCCATGGATGTTGAAAAACACCATTAATTTATTTCAGATACATCTTATATACTTATGAGTTATTACATACAAGTTATATTTTATTGTTTATTAATTTCTTCAGCACTCACTGCTCAGTCGCTATAATAGGAACTGGTTTCACCCATATACTTAGCCATGGGTGGATAGGCCTACCGGGAAACCGGGCATTTCCCGGTGGGCCCCCCTTCGTATTTTGGTAATGGGGCCCTTTAATAAAATGCAATTACCTATGATAGAAATAATTTGAAATTTTTTTTTCATGCGTGGGGCCCCCTTGTAAAATTTCCCGGTAGGCCAAAATTGGCCTATCCGCCCATGTACTTAGCCACCCTATAAGTATACCTACCTATTACTAGCTATCATTATTATTAACCTAACCTAACCGTAGGTACCTACTCAGAATTGAGTTTTCATACTAATCACATCAGAGTCCCAAGTCCTGGATACAATTTAATATCGTCAAAAATTCTATGTATTGCAATTTGCAGTATTCGGACTGCGAATTACATAAGTAATAACTAATAACTAATAAGTAGTATTTTCGTGCAATATCGGACATAATGAAGGTTCTCAGCCTAACAGTCTTAGCCTAAGTGCCTAACACGACAGGATACAAAGAAAAAAGTTGAAAAATTAAGCATGTTCATACAATAATAACTAATAATAATATAAGTATTCATTTTTCAACAACTTGTAAATTACCTATTATATATTGAATATGTTCATCACGGTTAGATCATGGCCATTGTTGCAGTTAAACGTAGGTACTACGACGTTTAAAAATCTAACATACACATACGTTATCGTCGTTATAATATGCCATAGTAATTTTAACAGTGTATAGATACCTATACCATTTAATTATTAATTTTTGAAGGATTAAAAAATAATGTAGACACAGGAATGACAGGATATATAAATTACAATTACATATGACTAAATGTGTATAACTTTGTGTCGTAATTCGTAAACAATCGTTTAGGACTGTACTGGCATATAGTCATATACTCATATGACATACCTAGTCATATATATTATATGTGTTTACATTATTATATTATGTTGTTATTTTGAAAAATTTTTAATAATCGTCATTACAAAATAAAAAATAACACTTAAAATTATAATGGGAGGTACCACTTGCCTATGGTAGGTATGTATAAACAGTTACGTATTTATAATTTATGGTGGTTACAGGGGAGGGGGTTCGAGTTCTGCTTACTGTTCTTGCTTATTACATATTATATTAAGACCAAGTAATATACATTCAAGTATAAAAATAGAAAAATGGGAATTGTTTAGTGTTATACCGTTATCGTCAAACTGAGATTACTTGTAAACGGTGAAAGTACTACAAACTTAGAACTTTTCATAGTGACCTGTCGCCGGCGACTCACCCTTAGTACAACCATTTTATTACACTGTTGGTTTTGAGTGTTTCGACTCTAATAGTCTAATCTATCTGTAATAAAGTTCCCGGCGCAGTTTCCGCCCTTTAAAAATCTGACCTCTAAAAAACCCCCTCCAATGCTCCAACACCCTCATGCGACTATAAGTCAATACGTGTTCCTTCATTCAATGTATATCCACCTTGCCTTCGTCATAATTATTATTTTTTATATCACACCATATTTGATCGTTGCCCTCGCCCAAAAAAAATCTTAACGGCCGCCTTTAAACAATAGGTATGGCCGTATAGGTACTTAATCAACAAGATATTTACTATGATTTACACATACTTTCCCCTGCAGATTTATTGCCTCATAAGTTGTATTAGGCTTGAAAATAATATAGGGGATTGAATACCTTCTTAAAATGTTTCCCATTTGTGCCACTGGCGTTTATAATAATAATATATCAAAATTTACTACACTAACATTAGGTTATCATAATATAATATTATGTGACAGACAATAAAATTCGTTACAACAATAACGCAGGTTGGCCGTTAGTGTTTGGCGACAGCGCGTGCAGTTCATCAAATCGTACGGAGGACACTCCGGAGTTCCGTGCCAGGGCTTCGACGGAGGGACACATCCGGTCGGGCGCGACGGCTTACCGGTACCTGCCCACGTTGTCAGCAAGAGGAAGTATTTGCTGCTACTTGAAGAAATGAGAGTCAACACCATCGCGTGTATACATACACATAGAAATAATATTATTACATCGTATTATTGTGTATTTAGCAGTAAGCTATATATGTCGCGAGTGGCATCGATAATATATTCTCTTGATGCACAAACGCACAATAAAATATACACCGACACCATCGATATGTATTGTGAATTTTCAATTAAACGCTAATACAAGACGTATTATAGGTACTATTATTATTATCATATCATTACATAATTAGGTACTTGTGTACAATTTACTCGTGTAAATCCTAACGACCACGTGATGGCGAAAAAAACACAATTGTTTGACTCATTTAATTTACCTACACGACTGTCGACTATAATACACATTACACGCGCGTAAACAACAATTAATAAAATACATACATACAAGTAACCTATTATAATTACAACAACGACGATCATGAGTGTTTTTATAATGTTGGGACGAGATAATTTTACAAGCTAGTAATTACTAATGGAGTTCAATATATTTGTATATATATCATACGCAATCGATTAAATTACAATTTAAGAAGTGGGCTTACCTATAAATCGTTCTATCGGAAATACTTGTTTACTTATAACAAGTTAGTAAGAAACTTAGGATTTGCATCGGCTTTCGACTACACCGAACTTTTTATTTGTTGATTCCACCGGCTCATATATTATTATACGCTTTTACTAAAAATGTATGATGAGAGGATAAACAAATTCTTAAAAATAAATTACATTGATAATATATCAAAATTTAATCTGAAAATATGGGCATCGTCTTCGATACCATCCGTACGAACACGGAACAACTATAATAGTTGCGAATTGTTTCATTCAAACCTTAACTCACAATATTCACTTAAGCACATCCTTGTATATTTTTGTTTTATAGCATGTATAGATTTTAAAAATACAAACAGGGTAATTCATATTAGGGGAATCAACATTATGCCATAATACGAGTATGTAAAATGAGCGAAAACAAAATGTATGAAATTAAAATAGTATAACATGTATAACATATATTTTTGATTATTATTTAAATAAAATATTGATAGATTCGCTTATATTAAACTGACATATATGCATAAATATGCATAAGTATATTATCTATATTAGTGCTATAAAATAAATACCTACCCACTCCAAATAATTATATTTTTCAAAAACGAAATTCCCTAGAGCCTATAAGTAGATAAATGAGAGTGCTTTCGGTTGAAAAGATCACCTTGCGCGTCGACGGCCTATATTATAATATATACAATAATATATATGTTACGGGCAAAGTGGAAAATTCGGGCAATGTATACAATGCCCGGGCATTGTATACATTGCCCGAATTTTCCACTTTGCCCGTAACATATACATACACATAAATAAGATATAATTACCTACATGGACACGCGGACATGCCTATTGCCTATTATATCATAACTGTGCGGAACTGACAAAATAAGCATACACTTCACCTACACCTACCTACCTATAAGATAATATAGATATATCTGCGATACTGGCAATACACACTATTACACTAGGCGATAGCAAAATAAAATAGGCGTATTATTTTTACCTCTATCGCATAATTATACATACAGGAAACGGTTTTTACTACATACCACGTAAATATATATATAAAAATGTGTGTGTGTGTGTGTGTGTGTGTGTGCATGTTATATGTAATAAATAATATTATATACACATGCTACATCGTAGTTTAAGCATATATATATATATATACAAACACTACGCGTTATACACTTATACGTGAACGTATTTTAGATTTGGAAATCGTGAGTCGTGACATTCATTTTTATATTATTATTATTATTAGGAACCTTAGTACCTACACCGTATAAATGTGTATAATTTATGGTTTTGGATGAAAACATAATAATATTATATTTAATGTCTATGTATATTGCAGTATATATATATATATATACCTATTATTATAGGTACCTACATATTATATACATTATGAGACCGTATACCGGGATCGTCGATAGAAGTTGATATTCGGTATTAAGTTGTCTGAATTAGTGTACTGCATGACGGGCACATGGTCACGATGAAGTTCCTTTTAATATAATATTATACTTAATAGCTGAAAATTGAAATTGTATTTAAGTATAGATAATAGATATAGTCGATGTCGATGTAATTATCGGTGGAAGGGGTAGGCTACGTTAGGTACCTGATTTGGATATAAATGCTGGCGTCATCTTGTTGGACATCGCTCATTTGCACCAAAAAAAAATTAATGCGTTTCGGGTACCTACGTACAGCCTATATTTACACAGCCAAAATAAAAAAGGTATGTTTTTCAGACAGTCAATTCGCCCTAAATTTACCTGTGTAAATATTTTCATTAACGACTTGGTTTAATTCACATATTTTTAAGATACTACAAAAATTTTAAATAAGCAAGGATATTAATTTTTTTAGATCAGGATCAATAATACTTATTTTTCCAAATAACAATCAACAATAGATGGATACTTTTTTTTAAATCATAGTCTATAATAACAGAGAACAGTGCACATTTTTTATAAATTATAATAAACCAATATATTTTTTGTATTATGTCTTCGACAGCTACACGCTTACATATATGCTGCAGTTATATTTTGTCTTACAATAGTTTTGCTGGGCTGCCAATAGGCTGTACTACCACCTAAACGTATTTTTTTTTTTTGACGCAAATGAGTAATACCCATCTTGTTATTGTAAGTATGAGGTTATACTATGATTCATAGGTGTGACTAGAACTATTTCTGGCCAACAGTTTTTTTCGGGAATTCTCTTTAAAAATTACTAAAAGTTAGTTTTTAGTTTATTTATTTACAGGCCCTGTCCATTGCTAACACATAATTATGATCTATATTTTGTATTCAATCATTCCATTAACACTATTTGTAAATTGTAAGAAGATACCTGCAATTTACCTAGTATACCTACTTGTCTGCGTGTTATATAATGATTAATAGCTATTAGAAATATTATAGCATTATTTAATTGTATTAAATTAGGAAGGGGAGAGGGTGGTGGCAAAATGAAACAAAATTCTAAAACCTATTATCCTATATACGAACATAGAAAAATTGGTTCACTGATCAAGACAATTTTATTTTATTTCAAAATATTTACTCCCTATCGGTTTTATTATTATTCAAAATAGTATATTATTGTGTAGCAAGTGCGGAGAGTAGCACACATTTCACCCAAGACTAAAATTGCCTACACGCACGCGGAACACATGCTACTTTTGTCACGTCTCAGCGTTCATCGGTCACGGGCTCTCGGCAAAGGCAATGCAGGGGTCCATACATAGACCTTAATATATAGTCACTGAGATAAACAAGAATATACTTATCTAGTATATTCTTATCTATCACAGTGAATATAGTACTAAACCATAGATAATAAAGATATATATATATATATATATATATTATCTATGTACTAAACAAGCAACGAGGGTATGGAAATCTTAACAACATAGAGGGCGCTTTTTGATTACTCCATTACTCGTACCACGATTTACCGTATATAATATACTATCTATAATCGTGACTCGTACGCAGGGTAGTGCAGGGTAGTAGGCCAGTAGGGTAAGAATGTAAAATATATAGGTATTTAGATTATTGTATATTGTCGTAAAGACAAGCTACACCACTGCGTTTGTTCGTAAATATGGCCAACATCACAGCTGGATGTGGTTACGTCACTAGTACCCACGATTAAAGATATATCTTTAATCGTGCTAGTACCTAATCATGTTGTTATTCTATGAAAACAATTTCATGAGAGGAAAATGTTAACGCGTAAAGACGTTATTATTTAAATATAAGATATGACCATGGTATAGATTTCAGTGTCGGGTTGTGCAGGGGATGCGCCCAGCACTTTTGGGGATTTCCATTTTACCACCTGGCACTATGGGGATTCCCACTTTACCGCCCGCTAGACGCAAAAAGGTCGTTTTCCAACGCTCCAGCCGTCAGCGGCAACTAAACTTTCGGTGCAGCCATGACAAATATGAAATAATATTAATCGAAGACCCTTTAAACATTCTAGACATTCCAGTATTACTTAAATTATAATTTTCTATGCATAATGACATTTTCTAAATGTTTGAACTAATTTTAATCTATTTATAGATACAATTATACCACTAGATACTCCATTCACACCTTTCTACGAATCCCTACATCAGTGTTAACATCTAAGTAAGTTATAAATTATAATAAAAATAACAATAATGTATGATATGATATTATTTATAATTAGCTACTAGGTATCTACCTGACTACCTATCATATTATAATAATATATATGATGTGTTTGGCAAAGATAAGTTCAACGTACCAAACAACTAATAAATAAATAAATTAGGTAGGTAGGTACCTAGTACCTTCTAATTGTGATATAAATAATTTATAAAATATCATTAAAAATAGAGGCTGGCACGCTATCTCCGCTCAGAATCGTTAATCGTAACTCGTAAGCAATTTAAATTAAGTAGTAAGTACATCCAATTAGTGGCGCCGGATCACCAAATTCATCTATGGCATGTATTGCAACAGAGCATTCCTCAAATGGTATGAAAAATATGAATAATTAGGTAGGTAAGTATAAAGTTTTTATTTGAAATAATATGGTACCCATACTAAAAAATTCAATAATTCAAATTTTGAATACATTTATTATTAAAAGATAAAAGGGAGTTGATCATACTTGATGAAACATCCTGTACCTGCATAGAAGAATATTGCAGATTATGCTTTTGCTATTTACTCATTCTTTGTGAGGGCACTTATTAGGAGTTACACTTATTATCTCACGAAATTTGTTTGGTAAAACTGTAAAAGGCTTGACCAGAACCATTTGGGCAGTTTAGTCATTATCTATTCTATGGCATACATTCGATTTTCTTATGAGGTGCGTGGGATTAAATTATACATAGTATGTTTGTCAAAGTATAGATAATGTTATGTGTATCCAGGAGAGCTTTTGAAAAAAAGAATGAATTTTGGGTTGCCGGAGTAGCATTAAATAGCAACCGAGTGCATTAAGATTTTAAGACTATTTTAGACAAATTAATTCATAAAACAGACTTCCCTTTTAGATTATTTGAGTATTGCCTATTGGCTATTAGTACGATATAATATCACTCTGACCGGACAATCATAATATAATATACTATATAGTATGGAGATTTTATACCGTGATTTTTTTTAAAACAAGCGTGACATAGGATTTTAGATGTGTTTTTTGCCAAACGTTCCAATTGATATAATGCAGCGATAATAATTATAAAAACAAATTTAAATATTTGTTAAGACTATACTTCAGATCAAATTTCCTACATTTTTAATATTATCCACCAAATTTTTAAATCCATTGTATGTTAAAAGAGTAATTAAAAAATTGTCATATTTCAATTTTTATTTTTTAGAGAAGTTAAAATCAAAACATCAAAAATGTGGGGAAGACGATCTCAAGTAGACTTTACAACAAATTCTAATCCGTTTTTTCTGTATTTAGAATTCTTATAACTTCACTATAATATCAACCGATACTTTTGGCAAAGAACCCGTCTAAAATCCTATGCCGTGCGTGTGTTAGACTAAGCCACTAAGCTAGAAAACCACGGTATCAAATACCTTTTACAATAGAAATAAATATATTATAATGAACAAGAGATACGGAAATAAGAAATCAAATAATAGTTCAATTTATTACGCCGATATGTCAGTACATTAGTACAATAATAGGAACACGCACAAACACATCCATCACAAGCCATAATACTCAGACAATTATTTACTAATGAAGATAAACAATATTTAGTATCTACACAGAAAATGTCTATTTTTATACCTCCTGGAACAAAAAATTAATGTTTTTGTAATTCCATCATATTGTCAAATATTTTATTTTTTACACAGTACACGCGTTACAATTTGCATAACCCCCTCCCACCATTTGTACGCCACTAGTTATACTATACATCCAAGTCTCGTAATGGGTGCCTAACCTACCTACCTAGTACCTACATATTACTATGAGACACGAGGACGAGAGCCATGTGTAAGTTAAATATAGGTACAAAAAATGAAAAATGAAATACAACAGAACTACAGAAGGTATAATATGTATCATGTATAATCATGTATGCGTAATAAAACGATGTATTAATTTCTCAGTGAATTATATAAAGTCATGACCTAATTAAATAAGAGGAAACAGTTTTTATACATGCTTCAATTATACCTACACAGTTGTCTGTACAAGTTTATAATAATATAACCTTGATTTGAAGAGCCGATTGTGACCTCCCCGATGTTATATATGTAGATATTATTTTTTTCCCCCTAATTTCTCTATATAATGGTAAAAAAATAAGTAGGTACGAACAGATCAATTCACATTTGGCCACTATTCAATTACCAATATATATGATACTTTAAGTTCAGTAATTCTGTCTTGACTCTTGAGTACCTATTCCATAATAGGTATTTATGAAAAATACGTTTTTTAAATTTTAAGTTCTTAAAAACTTTATCTGACTTAAATAAATATAAATTGTTTTATAAATAACCATTATTTAAGTGGATTACAATACATTTGCAATGTTTCACGTAATGGAACATATATATTATAGATTCTGAGTGGTTTGTGGAGCTATGAATCTATATTGATTTTCCAATGTGTGTTTTTTTATTTATTTGTTTTTCTTTGTGAATGCCACCGCCTTTGAAGACAGTAAAAATACTTCGATTTTCTACTCCAGCATCTCTACTGGTAGGAGAAAGAATCTAGTTGGTACTTTGAGGAGGTCAAAAGTAAAAGATTCCTCAGTAGTTTTCAAAAGCGTAGAGAAAAACAAAAAAAAATTAAGAAAAAACAGGAATTTTTAATTTGTATGCAAACACTCAGGATCCACTTTTCTACAAAATTGCTGTTTATTTTTTTAGAGTACCTAACACGAATACCTATTAAATATCTATATAGACAATTTTCCAAGCGAAAATTGATATTTCATTTTTAACGAAGAATAATGTTTAGTTTTTTTGTTGTAGTATAAAAATATTATTTGTGGTATATAACTTTTGAAGTACCTACCTACCTATATTATTAATATTTATTATATTTTATAACCACAATGACATTTTCAAATTACATTTCTTAGACAAAGATTAATTCTACCTGCTGTATTATACTAATGTAGTATTGTTGAACAGTAAAATAAATTACTTTAGTAGCAATATCATCAGGGCCGGAGTCAGGGTAAGGCGACCAAGCGGTCGACTAATGTGCCATTCACATCAGAACTAAAAAATTGCTCTTTAAAATTTCACACATTTAAACATTTTTGTCAGTAATATTATTTTTTATTATTTTGTTAAGAATATGAAATACCTTTAACTTAGTACTGAAATATAAATAATTATGGTTATTTCGTTTAGCCATACCTATATTAAAATAATACAAGTTCATTTTTAACTTTTTAAGTATATATTTACTATGGTTTAGCGTAGAATATTCATCTTATAATATGTTGCTCTATAAATATAAAACGCTTGCCAAGTCAGAAATTGGTGTGAGAGTGAGATTACCTGGTTTTTAATTGTTAGAAAATATGTATTAGGTAACTGTATGTAATATGTAAGTATTTTATTACAATATGATTAAACCAAAATTGTAGCTTTAAGAAATTATTAATTGCAAATCAATTTATTGAGAAAATATTAGATAATGGTAGAATATAGTAAGTTGAATATAACTAGTTTGAATTTAAGAGGTATTAGTAATTTTGCTTGTTTTAATTATTTAATAACTTATTTATTAAACTTGATAACGAATTGTGTACCTAATATGAATATTTTCCGATATCATACACAAGCGATATAACAATTTGAATCCAGAAAAAAGTCGATGTAAACAGCCCCGCAAAAAAAAATCATTTTCATTTAGTGAGATAGATAGATCTCCGTTCTCCGCCGAAACCGGAGAGCGGATTTTGTTGTTTGGGGTCTTGTTAGATTCACATTGGCTAGCCGCTAGGAGAAGTGCAGTGAAGATTTTCAGAACTTTATCTTAAATAAATAATAATTAATTCATTACAGAGTTTTAAAAAAATTAAAACACATTTTATTCGGAGCTTTTTGATGTTTTTCAGCCTTAAATCTCTGTAATGAATAATTAAAGACTGAAGATAAAATTCTAAAAATCTTCACTGCACTTGTCCTAGCCAACGTGAATCTAACAAGACCGCAAACAACAAAATTTGTTTTCCAGTTTCGAAAATTTACTCTGCTAAATGAAAAACTAGTGAAAAATAACTTTTTTTTTAGCTGTGAAAATTAAATAATTTCAGCTATCATAGTTTAGGAGAATAATTAAGAAATATAAATTTTTGGGACTGTTCACGCCGACATTTTTGTGGATTCAAATCGTTGTACTGCTTAGGTGTGAGATCGGATCTCTCCAATTAATATTTTACATTAATAACCTAACCCAGCTTCTTATTATTACTGAGTTAAATTTTTATTATTTTCCTATACTTACTGAAAAGCGCAGCCACCGCTGGACCAATTTATCTGGCAACGGCTGTACGCCACAACAGTCTAGTTGACGATTCAAAATCATTAGTTATTAGGTAAGTTGTAGAAAGTTGGTAAAATCAAGAAAAGCTTAGATCGATAGTAAATTTAAATTAATATTTTATTTATGTTATGTTTTTACTATGCTCTATTGTACACTCCATCTCCATTCATTATTAATTTACAACCATTTCTGCATTCTTAATTTGTATTATTATAACACATAATACCTATGTGCTTTAGTGCTTATTATATCTATTACTTACATTATATATTTATATTATATTTCATCATAATATGTATTTTCGTTTTTTTAAATTAAACGATACCAAATGAATCAGAGTCGGGCGGCCCCTGATTTTGTACCTATTAATATTATTATTATTCGTTTAGAGTAAATAGAAATACAGAATAAACATTTTTTTTTCAAATCAGGAAACGTATTTAAAACCGTTTTAAAACGTATTATAATAGTTATCGCTCAAAAAAACCCAAAACTAATAAAAATTAAAATAAAAGTTTTCAATTCTTTGACGTATGTAACGGATTTTGCACTTGAAAAGTATTGCCGTGGACTTTCCCAAAAATAATGCGTTTTGCATTATATCCTATTGTAGTTATAACTTATAAGTTATAAGTATTTAAAGTAGAGCAAATTGGACATTTGTCTACTACCAAGGTGTTCTGAATAGAAGAGGTTACTAATAAAATTGTCAACCAGATGGATTTTATACCAGCTCCCTGGAGACATACTACGAGAACAGCCCACTATGCAATTGCACAGTAGTACCTTCCTCCCCAGATGTTAGTCAACATGAGTATACTACATTTATTATGAAAAATGTTGAAATATTCTGTTTTTGCCACATTTATGAAGATACTATATTATTTAACCACATTCAATAAATATTTTTACAATATTGCATTTAAAGAAAATAGTTAAAATTGAATAAATAAATACAATTTTTTTAGCATCTATTGACCATTAATTTGATATTTTTGTGGTTTAATATTTTTATCTTATTTATTTATTATTACATGCATATTTTAAATAGACAATAACAAGTACAATGTTCCATATCTTCAAAATTGAAACTAGCCAGTTTATACCTATTATACAATATACAATTTTAAAAATTATTTTCACAATATTATTCACATTTAGAAAAAAAAATTAGGTTTTATTGTTTTAATCATAATAATTATAAGTTAACAATTAATCCATATTTTTAACTATGCATTTTTATTGTAGTAAAACTATGTTACGAGACATTTTTGAGAATTTTTACAATCCATATGAAATAATTAAAATCTTTTAAAATATTTATCAATTTTTTAATCAAATATAACGTTCTAAAAATATTGAATTGTTAATAACGTACCAATATACAAGCTATCACTTATAAATTGTAAATACACAATTACTTATAAATTATAAGTTTTTAATAATTACATTGACATTAATTGTTTTACAATATAGATAGGATAAAATATTATTTATAGCCTATTAAAATATTTTATAATTATAACAAATAGTTTTTAATGATACAATCAACTAACATCAAAAATTGGTATGTTACACATAAGTATTCAATTTAACTCAACAATAATAAACACAGAAAATATAATTATACTCCATTCACATTTAGAAGGAATCTCGGCGGCTGAACTAATTACAGGGGCATAGTTCTACTTCACAGCAGGCATACAGATGGTTATCAGTTGGGAGGACAAACAAATGTCGTCTGACCTCCACCCTAGGTGACTGGTCACAAGTTCCCTCTTAACGTGATTGGAGTATATATAAGCAATTTTATATATTAGCCTAATTTTGCTATTGCATAAAACATAATTAAAAATACAAATTAGGAACGCCAGAATACAATTTGGTAAGTATTGAATTTATAGAGTGTGTATAACACAAAGTCATAAGTTAATTTGTTTTATTAATATTTAAAAATATATTTTGTACAGAAAATTCAAGATAGTTAGTTAAAATAATTAATCTATTAAATGTTAAGCTAAATTATAAAACATTAAAAACTATTGGTTTGTGTTATTTTTGAATCAAACAAACAACCTAAATATAAATCAACTAATTACTGATTACCACTGAGGCAACCATTATAATCTATAGAGCAACACTACAGCAACTTAAAAATAATGGGATTAAAATATAATAAGTGTAGTTTTTTTTTATAATTTAATCTCTTAACTTGAAATGCAAATAACATTCATACATTTTTAAATATCAATATAATATTATAGATATATGTATAGTATTTGCAATAGGTACAATATAATTATTATGACTTATAGTATATGCATATAATGTTACGTATCTTATTATATTCATACACAGTCCTATCACTTGTAGTGTTAGAAGAAAACAAATTTAAACATCAATTATTTATGATAGAATATATTAACATAGTCTCTATCAGACAGGCAAGGGTAAAAAATCATACATCCATTTACATGTGTTGCCAAGTAATCGGTATTAGATTTTGTGTTGAATCTAAATACCTAGATATATCTTCATGTAGTCCATGGCTCAGCCAAAGTATTTGTAATTTGCGATATTGTTCTTTACATAGGTATAATGGATTTCCACGTTTTAGACCTTGATCAGTTTCACCGTACTCGTCCAAATATGGTGGCATTATAAAACTTCCTTTATTTAAAGTGGCTAACAATAAAACTTCACACTCACGTACACGTAAGAAAATTCCAACTCCACAGCCACATGTATAAGCATGACCAGAACATGCTCCCACCTAAAATAATAACAATTTTGTTATTTTGTGATTTAGAAACATAATAGGAGATATATTAGGGAACAAGTAATTTATTTGCATAAGTCATTTACACTGTTTTTGTGCATTGAAAAATGTGTCAATTACATAATTTTATTGACATAATGTATTATAATATTTAATATAGGCAAGATTACTGATGAATTCTTTACAATAATTTATTATAAGTACACTTATAACATATTAGTGGTGATTATGAATTATGACTGATAAAATAAAACAGTACACCTAACAAAAATAAAATATGAAAAATAAGCATGTTGGCAAGCTGAAATTTTTTTTGTTCTAATGTTAGATGGGTGCACATTTAACAACACAAAATATTACTGAACTAAATTTTTAAATTGTCGATAATTATTAACATTCAAAGTTTAAATTTATTTCAAAAAATTTAAAAAAAACTGTTATTACAGTGAAGAGAAAATAAAAATGAAAACACATATAACTTAAATTATGCTTTTCACCGTTATATTAATCTAATACCTAATTTTATTCTACATCTTATTTTATATTATAATTTAATTATATATATTTGTTAAGACATTAGGTATTAGTATAATAATAAACAGTGCTGATTAAATAAGGCATAATATAAAGAAATAGATAAGTTAATCAAGGCTACATAACGCAATACAGATAGCACTCAAAATATAAAATTCATCAAGTATAATGAACAAAACTTGTAGACTATGTTAAATTGAAATGAAGAGTTATCATTCTTTATTTTGGCTGTATTTAGAGCTTAGTTTAAACCTTCATAGGGACTTTAGACATACATTTTAGATGAATAGATATTCAATTACTTACAGTAACACGTTTGACTTCAGTTTGACAACAGTAACTTTGAGAACATAGCATTGTTCCACACACCAAACACATAGTTGGATTTCTCGAATCTTCGTGATCGCTATTTGGACAGGTAAACATTGATACAGTGTTGATTAATTCACTATAATCATCTGGTAGCTGTACTAATTCATTGATATGCAACCAATCTTTAAATGGTATTTTTTCACCTTGTTTGATTTTGATTAACTTATCATTTTCAGACCATTTATTTATCAACGCCTCAACATATGGTTTGTCTAATATTTCTTTACATGTAGTAGGCAATCCCAAATAACAACACATATTATGGTATGTATCTCCATTCACTTCTGTTAAGACACCTGATGCTGGAACACCCGTAAGGAAATGATAAAATAGAGAACAACACCTCAAAAATGGTATGGAACAACTTTCTATTGAATTCCAAACAGCTATAGTGTTTTTAATACTAATGCCACGAAGTTTGTAAACCAAATTAGTTAAACAAAATGTGTCTTCTGCTTCTTCTGGGTCCATTTCAAGCATTTCCTCAGAATCTTCTTGGATATCAATGGTTAATATAATTTGTACTAAATTTGAAATGAACATTAAAAGTAGAGTATGGAAATCTAGCATAGTTCCTCTAGGTGCTGGCCCGGGCACTTCAGTATAATACAAGCTCGGAAGAGTCATTGTCAATGAAACTAACATTCCAAAAGCATCCCAATCGAGTATTCCGATTGAGTTATTTCCACCATTATCTATTGCCAAGGATAAAAGGCGAAGTGCGTGTAAATTGATTTCGTGTTCTTTTTTCCAAGTTGAACTGAGAATACCTGAAACCCGAACCAATGCTTCTAAACAATCTTTTTGTCGAGAAGATAACTCACCAAGTAATGGTTTGTTTTTATAGCGAAGAATTACTTCATTTGAATGTATTGTGTATGCACATGCTTTCCAAGTCATTAATGGGATTTGGTTATTATCTGGATGTGGATTGTTAAAACCAGTAGCTTTTGAATAAGTACTGTGAGCAAATTTCAATATTGTATCAACTAAGCTGGTTGAAAGAGCACTGTTTTTATATACAGATACTTTAGGTACAGCTTTTGGGGACGATTTGTCAAACATTAGTATTTGCATAATAAAATCATTAGTTCCTATGGAGAATTGGTTTGATGGTGGTAAAACTTCTTCCTCGTCGTCGTCTTCTTCTTGGGGTATTTCAATATTATCTCGTATAACGATTACCTGAGCCAAATTATTAGCAGCCTGCAACTGTAATGAAGAATTACTTCGAGTATTTCGCCGTTCAGGTTCTGGACTTGCTGATTGTTGAACAACAGATGGTTGTGATTGTGATACTTCAGGAGTTTTTGGTTTGACAACCTTACTTTGTTTTAGCGCCATATTTAATCCTTCTAACCAATTTTCAAATGTTAAATTTTCAAAAGTTTTCATGTTCTCTGACTCAGTAAAACTTGAAATAGGTGGTAACAATGGCATAACAGTATTACAAAGTCCTTCACAAAGTGGACATAAATATTCATTTTTATGCACATCAAAACTCAATGAATGTCTTAATCGATAAGGTCTTCTATTTTCTTTGGCAAGAATCATATCGAAATGTCTTTGCCAACAGGCAACATGCATAACATGTCCACAGGTGGAAATATGAGGAGAGGGACCAAAGTTAGCTGGTATATAGTACGGGTCAGAAAAGTTATCAGTAACATTTTCTGAACTATTTCTTACTTGACAAAGAATGGACGATTTTTGTACAAATGTAGCTAAAACCATTGCTTGGCTATCATGTGTCACCAGTTGTTCTTCCTGGCACAAAATGCACGTATATCTATTGTCGAAAACACTGGGTGTAGTTTGATATGGACCTAAAGCAACAGAAAGTTCACCAATATTTTCTAGGATATCCATACTAGTAGATTCTGAATAAGTAGGTGTGTTATCGAATAATGTAGCATTATCTTTCATAAAATTATTCTGCATTTGAGCCATCTGAGCCATAACAGTAGCTCTTCTTTCAGCAGCTAATTTAGCTCTTTTTTGTTTTTCAGACTCTGCATCTACATTTTTAATAACATCCATTTGTTCAACTTCTTTCTCTATTATTTCAATTGGTACACATTTTCTTCTTGGAGCAGATACTTGTTTAAACTTGTTTAGTGTCCATATTGCCAAGTCTTTATAAGCCTCTACTCTAGCACTACGCTTAAGCCCTTCTAATGCAACTTCTATACCATAAGATTCAGAGCGTTCCGTAAATGTAAATGACGGACTTTGTTGTTTTTCTTCTTCATGAAGAGCATAACCAATAAGATGAAGAACTTTATGAAGCTGAGATTCAGAAAAACTTCTACTTCTTAAATTTACGGTTCTATCTAATATCAATCTCATAATGTAAAACATTATATCACATTGCAATAAATTAGCAATCTTTGCAAAAGCATCACTGAATAATGGTAAACGGGGTGGAGGACAGCACTCTAATTCACCAGCTGCTTTTCTACGTTTTCTTTGTTCTTCTTCAGATTTAGACATTTCTTCTCGTGAATAATGATAAAAAAATACATTATAGTCATCATAAAAAATTGGCTTTAATTCATAAACACCTTTACCTCTAGTTTTTTTAAAGTCCGCAACATCATGTATAACTCTTTCTAAACACTCCTCATCTTCAATAAGGTTTAAGAGCGTCTTATTTAGTTCTGAATGAGGCATAGGTTCTACGCATAACTGCTGAATTACTTCTTTTCTTATACAATCATTAAAGGTCACTTTTCCAACACCAGGTGTATATCTTTCACCAACTATAGTGATTATAAGACCTAGAAATTCTTCAACTAAACTAATTGTTTGGCGTATAGATTCATCTTCTGATCCATTTAATAAGTTCAGTTCATAATTTGGTTGAGCCCACTTCAATAAATTAAACTTGTTTAACACATGAATTAAAAATTCATTACTGTCAATTAAAGATGCGCCCATTTGAAGTATAACAATATCCTTGTCTAACATTTCCACACGACATTTAGAATTATGATACAAATAAATTTGATTTAATAGTGAATATCCATTGCGTCTCCACATTCCAGCATGTACTTGTGATATTAAAACAAGAGCCCGAAGAACTGGTTCAATAATCTGTTCAGGAGACTGTTTTGCAGTCTGTACCTCAGAATGTTCAAAACTTAAGCCATAATGGTCTAGATATAAATGTAGTCCAGCAAGAAATCTAGATAACGGAAGATGTATAGATACAGGTTCACTTGATACGTCATAATCAATACAAGAAACTTTATAGTCAATCAATTCTCTAACTACAGTTGGTCTTTGAGGATCTAAAATTGGATTTTCATAAATTTTTTTTAAAGTCATCCTGTATACTTTTTTTAAAACAATACTATCTGATCCACACCATAACAGGATTTTGGTTATTAATGGTCTCAATTTAATATGCAAGTTGAATGCTGTTTCCCATTCTGGTTCATACTCCATATGTTGACCTACTTGCCTGGTAACAGTATCCATATTTTGCATATAATTAAGTATCTTAAGGACCAATGAAACAGCATGACAAAATGATAGTCTTAATTCAGGATTCCATGCATCAGGTACACAACCTAAGAGATAACGAATATCTCCAAGAACATGTTGAGCTCTTTTGAATGGCAAAGTTGATGTATTTCGTTCAAATTCCAACTTGCCTTGTTTATTTACTTTATGTGAACACTCTGATAAAAATGTATTTAAAAGTTGATATAAAACATCATGATGGGCCATTAAATAGTTAGCTAAAGTAGGTACAGTAAATATTTGTACACCTAATGAAGCAACAGAATATGAATAATCATGATCATCATTAATGAAATCCTTCATAATAGCACCATAATTTTTTGTAAACACCTTAGCAAATTCCCTTTTATTCTCATATTCTATGAACATACCAGCAATGAAAAGTTTATGCCAATGAAGTCTTGCTGACTTCCATAGAGCAGTGTCTTTACGTAATATGCTTTCTATAATGCAACCTTCTGTTGGTGTAGATGCAAGTACAACACTTGAAAATACTGATCTTAAACGTTCTGAATATCCTAATAAATTTTGCATCCATGTCAAGAGTCTAAGTGCATATATTTGATGGGCAATAACATGAGAATGAACTACAACTGTTTTCAAAGGTTTCCCCCCATGACGTGATGTAAATTTTTCAATTTCTTCTTTAAGGTCTTTGCATTGCACAAAACCAGCACATTTCACAACTGCTCTACCTTCTCGGTCAATAGATGTAACATAATCAATGGATTCTCGCTGTGGGCATTTAATGAATCTAGTAAGAGTTGTTATAACTTGATCAAATGTATGTGTCTCGTCATTATAAAGAACTGTACAAAAACGATCCTCCTGATTTTTATATATACTATATAAATCATCTAACATCTCATCAGAATCCAACTCAGCAGGTAACATAGGAGGGTGTTCTAAAGTAAGTAATGTACGAGCATAACCAAGAACAATTTCAAAAACTAAATGAGCACGTTTCTCCATATCACTTGTTAAAAAATTTAAGTTAACATGTTTTTTCTCTAAACCAAGCTTATGAGTTTGACAATAAGCATCTTGTTTCCAAGCTTCTATATCGCCACAGTCACAGCATCCACCTCCATAAGATGTTCCCATTTTATACTTGTGATTTTTATGCGGAGATCGTTTAAAACAGTCCACACATAATACACAAGTACTATCCATTCCACATTCTCGACAATTATATGTTGGCTCGCCCATTTTGAATACTCGACCACATACTGAAGGTGGGAAGTTCTGTTTTGTTAAGCCATGTAATACTTCAATACTATTTCCATTACAGATAAATTCTTCGAGTGTATTGAGTAAAGTTTTTTCTGCTTTCTGTTCATTAAATGACCATTCTAGAGAATTTCCTTGGATTTCTGGTTTCAAAATAGTTGGCACCCATGTTTTCCAATAACTTCGAAAGTCAGATTCGGTTAAAGTGTTATTCTCAAATTTTTTTGACCATTCATTAACAATGTCGAGATTTTGATCAATTTCTTTGGAATCATTGCTTTCATCCACTTCCATTGGAGTGTCTAAATCACTCATTGTGTCATGGAGTTACCTAAAACAAAAATAAAAATTGGGTAAGAATATTTGATTGTAAAAATTGTAAACAGTAGGTAGGTACTAATATAAAAAAAATAATTTATAATCACTAATATGATCAGTGGTTAGACTTATTGTCTAGTTGGGTAGTTGAAAACATATTTTGCATAAAAATACACTATCTGTAAATTGGAAAAACCAATCACCATAACTAGTTTATGGCGGACAATGACACAAGAAAAATAGAATTGTGTATTGCCATAGCCCATAAGACACTCCCTCAGTTGCACAAAAAATATCAGAAATTTAAAAATATGGACTTTTAAACATTCTAAAATCAAAATATGAATAAATCTACTATTAGAGAAATGAAAAAAAGAATGGGGGTGAGCATGCATAAAAAATCACTCTGTATAGTACAAGCTGTTCGAATGATTTGTATTTGTATTTGTATTTGTACTTGTAAAAAAATGTATGCGCCATATATTTCTTCTAATTTTAATAGTAATATAATATGATCAATGACGACCATTCAGATAAACAAAACATTTTTGTTTTTTTTTAATTTAGAAATAAATCAAGTGTGGCTTACTCTTAATAAAGGAGTTGAAAAGAGGGTTTTGTAAATTAGAAGTTTTTTCTTTTAGATTGGTATTATTAGTTCTCGATATTAGAGGACGAACGATGCGCTTGCGGGCATTGAGGGTCAGTCTTTTGGTTCGTATATGACTTTTCCATGTTAGTCGTTCATTAAGATTGAGTCCCAGGTATTTTATTGTGTCCGATGTGGAAATTGGGATATTGTTTAATGTAACAGTTCGACATACAACCTTCTTGAGAGTAAATGTAGCGTGTCTTGATTTGTTTTGGTTTATTTTGATACCCTATTAGTCGTACCAGTTAGTCATTAGGTTGAGGTGAAGTTGTAGATTTGATGAGGTGGTCACCAGATTTTCAAAATGTATTATTTAAATTATTTATTAGTATTCTAAGGGGGTAAATATTGTCTCATTATATCCTATGTTTTTTTTAAAGGGTTAATGATGCAAACAACAAGATATTGAAGATGTGACAAGAGAAAGTTATGTATTTTAATTTGTATTTACCTATAATTTAAACTACTTTTATTGATTTTCTAAATAATATAACTGTGGAATTGGGCTCTATAATTTTTTCAGGAATTCATTATAAGATTCCAGAAATTTCTCAGTAGATTGGTCTAGACCAGAGAAAAGTAATTAGTCACTGATTAAGGATGGACGGATTGATTGAGAAGTAAAGCTAGACAATAAACATATGTTTTCTAAAAAAATCTGTAAAAATATGATTCATTAAATTTCATTACAACTAATGAATGAACAGAATAAGTATATATCATCATGCAAACTGTGTAAAGTGTAAGATATAATCTTATTAAACTTTAGAACAATTAAAAAATGTTAAGTATATCATCAAACTGTAAAATTTAATTTTTCATTAAATATTAAATAATGTAGATACTCAGAGTAATGTACAATAAAAATTTTTTTTGAGCTGTAGTTGTGCCAATAGTGATGATGCATATAAATATGATATACATCCATAAAGTGTGGGTTGCGGTGTTTTTCTGTATAAGCTAATTGGCTAATTTCATGACTCACTCTGTATAGTGTTTATTTATATATATATATGTATATATAGAGATTTATTTAGTAAATATCCTGTAAACAAGAACAAAAATTATAATAGATTTTAATAAAATATAAATTATCTAGTATATTTCCTGATACCTAAGAAATAATAATCAAACGATTAAATATTTTGGGAGAAGCAATGAATGTATTGATTTACAATGATGTGTTTTTTTTAAACTTTATTGTCGGTGTACATGATTAATATTCGAAATAATTCTTCGATTTTCATCCTCAGGAACTTTTACTTTTCTAGTGGGAAAATAAATCTAGTTGGTACATTCAAGAGCCGAAATTGAAAATTCCCAGTAGTTACAAAAATCATTGAGAATAAACTGACATTTTTACACAAAATAGATTTTGGGTTTTAGTGTAACTCTAAAAAAATGTCTATAGATACATTAATTTTTCCCTGAATATTCATATTAGCATTTTCTATACTCAGTATAATATTCAAAATATTTTGACTCTTTTTGATTTATTTATAATCATTTTGCTATTTTAAATGTTCAAATGTTTTTAGGTTTTTTTCTATAGATATCAATAAAACTTTTTTTTTTAGATATAAGATTTCTAAATTGAGTACAAGGCTCTTTGCAAGTGTTTATAATACTACTTCGAAATAGGCATGGTTTTTTTTTTAAGCATTTAAACTCGATTTTAAATCGAAATGTTGACAAAATTCATTGGTCACGATAATTTGCAAATTATTTAACAGTTAAAAATGTACATTGTTCAAATTGTATTATGAAGGATTATAAATTCAAAACACAGTTCCTCATAAGTATTAAATACGGCAAGCAAAAAATCTAAAAATTATTTAAACACAAAATTGAATTGATATTTTAAGTTCAAAGTGGGATGAAATAAGTAATTTAAACAGGGAATAATGATTTAAGTCAGTTTTTTATAATCTAAAAATATCATTCACGAGTACTTGGAACTTTTAAAGTAAGTATGTAAAATAAAACTTTTGAAATAAAATGTTTTTGGCAAAAATAATTTAACCTACTATATAGTAAAATAAATTACTTTAATAGCAATATCATAAAATATACTTAGAAGTATAGCTGATAGACCATATTCTGTCAGAATTGTTTTTTTTTGTGTACAATGTTTCTATATCATTAAATTCAAATTTAACACATCCATTAAAGTAACCCACTCACCATATACTACTGTAGAGCGGAACCCACTTTTTTAAAAATTACTTTAATGAAACACTTTAATTATTGACAATTACCTATCAATCAACTTATACAATTAAGTAATTATAACTAACTATGTTAAATACCTACCTGTCATTAATTGTATTACCTATGTGTATTTTTTTAAATAACAATACAACTTAACAATATAAAAATACTAATTTTGATTTTTCAATAGAGGGTACAATAAATAAGTGTCATAGATAGGTAACCCACTTAACAGGTGATAAGACAAAACAATATATTATTACCTTTATTCATATACCTTTTTAGGAATTGACTTTACATTAGACATTTACTTTATTATATCAATGTCTTTAACCTTGAATAACAAGGAAGTTATCAACGCTTTATTCAGGATTAGTATAAACTGTGAACTGCTATTGTGTATACATATTAAGTAGTAGAACAATGTTAAAACCCCAAAGGGTTGTCTAAACTTTAGATGGTATGTCATAAAGTGTAATTATTTTCAACCGTCATATAAGGCTGGCATATAACACTTGCGATGGGAGCCTTTTAAGGGTAGGGGTTATAAAGGTTTTCGAAAAGAAACGACCAGTTTTCATCCGTCAAGCAATTTGTTCTGAATGTCAATGAAATTTATTAAGGGATTGACAAGTTGTTATTTTTGCATAAACTATAAGGTATCGTCTTAATATTATTTCATAGATGATTTATTTTCTTAAAAAGCAGGTTTTTCTGAAAATATAATTATGTACAAGTAGAGTACATAATATTATTCAAAGCATTTTGAAATAGGCATTCAATTCTAGAACTCATGGTTCTTGGTAAATACACTTTTATTCTCATATGAGAACATTGAAACATTTATAAAAAAATTAAGTAACTTAATTAGTTACTATAGATCAAAGATACCTATGTGGTAAAAATAGCTAGTCAATGACCTATTAATCAAATCTGATTATTGATTAAAAATGACTACAAACTCTACCTAGGTACCTAGTAATAAGAAAAATCAAATGTATACAAATAACTAAATTAAACTAATACCTACATAAAATAGGATATCATAGAACTACTTCTATGAACAAAAATATGATAACTACACATTAATATATCATATAGTATTAGTATATTACACATAATTTAAAAAACACAATAACATCTTAGATTCAATATAATATGTTACTACGTAAACTAAAGTAATGCAGTTATAGATAATATATTATGTTTAACATAAATCATAGGTAATCAGATTTATTAAAAGTTTAAATAGATCATAATATATCTAATATATTCAGTGTTCGAAACATTCACTAAAAAAAAGAATTTTTTCACGTTCAGTTCTTAAAAATGGAACTCGTTCACGTTTGTGTTTTTTTCAAATGAACACGTTCAAGTTCATTGAAAAAATGAGTACATTCACTAGGTTGTCCATTTAATTTTTTTATAAAAGGAATTGTAATAAAATATTTTATTACATAATATAAGTACCTAATCAATATATTTTAAACATATATTTATTAAATGGCAAATAAATTGATTGTCTTAAAAAAAATTTTCATTCAATTTATTAAAATATAACAATATAAACGTTACGTTCAATTTGAAAAAAAACGAGTTACATTAGCGCAACGCTTACTAAACATGACCGTGAACATGGGTTTAAAAAATAACATTCTTTCCAAACACTGATTATATTGTGCATCCTTGATGTCAACAAAAATTGCTAAGACAAGGAAGATGTATGCTCATTTTGTTAATTTTGATGTTTAGAACATGTGTGTTTGAGATATCTTTGTTATACTAATTTAATGCATAAAAACAAAAACAACATAAGCCCATATGTCAAGGCAACCCATACTTAGAATAGTATTCACACTTTTAGCATAGCATATGCAGCAATTTTTCACTTTGTTTTACTTTACAAGGGATAAATTTATTAAACTCATGTTTAGACTATTTTACCACCATAATTAGTTAGAGAGGGGGGAGGTTAAATTCATGGCAAACTCAAGAGCCACCCCGAGCACAAAATATTCGGTTGTCTGATGTCAGCAACCGGCTATAGAGTATGCACTCGGGTTATAAGAGGGTAGTAGTTGCTGGAGAGTGGTGGTGAGGAGACGATGCAGAAGCAACTAGATACAGAAGACGCGGACGAAAAACATTATATACATCAGAAAGGTCGCAAAACAATAAATGCAATTTTTAATTTACTCACTGACTGCGGGCGGCGTAAGGACTAAGGAGATGAGCTCCTTTGGATCAGTGGTTCACACAAAACGACGACAACAACGATGACGGCGGCTGTGGATAGGATCCGTTCTCGGTCGTGCGACACAGTGACGCGCAAAAGCGAACGACGGCCGTCGGGGTCGCTTTAGTCGACGTCTGCTGGTCGAAACGGACTTTTGCAGTTTTGCGTTGTCCCTTAGTTGATTTCACTTAAACGTTGAACTTTTTTTTCACTATTTGATAAAAATAGCAGTAAACCTATCCTCGCGAACAGCTGTCGCCTGTCGCGCCGTCTCTTCACAGTTCACTGTGGCGTGTAGTGACTAGTGAGTTGGGAGACGTAGTGCCGTAGTGGGTACATAAAGCGACAACCGTACACGATGTACACATAGGTACATAATAATAGTGACGGTAACACAGTATAAGGTATTATCACAAAGTAAAATAAATTGAATTCAGTTGTGTTTTTATCAGTGAATGAAAGAAATGATGATGGCGAGAAAATGGTACCACACAAAGGACCGAGTACCCCGGCTCCTCATTCAACATTGGTGAAGCCACACCTACAGACACCTGAGAGTCTGCGCTCTCCTGTTCCGGTATCACCGAGAATACCTTATGCTCTCTACCATTTTTTTCTTATCTACGCACGACGTAAAGATTAAAAAATAAAAATATCGAAATTTGTGACGACGACATATTAAGGCATAAACGCTAAAACGCCATACACTCACAACCATTAAACACAATTATTATTAACAGATCAAATCGGTAGGTACTATACTTCTATCACTTCATTCAATTGACAAACTATAAATACAGTAGCATAGGTATTAGGGGTATGTATATCTCAAATTTCTGTTTTATATGTTTGTATGCGTATTTATTTAAAAATTTTAAAATATAATGTACTTATATCTTATGATGTAAATATTATATTGTAACAAATGTTTAATTTATATTAGGTAAGACATCATAAAAATAAAATTTATTATTTATATAACATACCCAGTAAGACGGAGGAATAATATTATTACAAGATTTACCAGCAAAACAATCAATTGTTTTTTATTTTAACAACGATAATGGCTCATCACTTCAAGGAAGAAGACATTGATGGTAAGACAATAGCTAATTGTGAAAACCATTATGGAAATGATTACTTGTGGATATTGTCTTAATATGTGTAGTGTATTTTACATTCTAATAATTTTTTTTTCAGAATTCAGGGAATGTTTTTATCTATTTGCTAGAGAAGGCGTGATTAATAAATTAGATGAACTCAGTGTAATTATGAGATCTCTCGGAATGAGCCCAACAATAACTGAATTAAAGAAATACTTCACAGAAAACAGTAAGTACAAATAGGTAATTGGGATTAAAATAAAATAATATTATTTTTAAATTTACTCTTGAAAATAATTAGTTTATCTATGGAAAAATGTATACAACTTAATATTTGTATTTTTTATTAAAATCATAAACATCATAAATACATAACTCTTTTAATGTTTGACATTAAATTGAATAAAAAAATAATTTGCTGAATAGTTTGCAAGTTCAGCAACCGAAACCTAAAATAAAATCTCAACATCAGTATGCTAAACTTGTGGGAAACCCTAGTTAAACAGACTGTGTAAACACATTATCAACCCCCCCCCCTCCAGGTTAGATTACTAAAGACTAGGTAAATTAAATCATAAATATTGTTGAGTCCAATTATCATAATTAATTTGTAAATAATTCATTAAATTATTTCATACATAGTTTAATAATGCCTTAGAATAAAAATATACATCAATGAATATTATATTAAATCATATTATGCGTTATTTTTTTTTCAGATGGAAAATTACATTTTCCAGAATTTCTGAAAGTAATGCACAATCATTGTCGTGTGGAAAAACTACCTAATGAAATTTTGGCAGCTTTTAAAGCTAGTGATCGTCAGCACAGCGGAACAATTCATAGTAAACATCTCAAACATCTATTACAAGGTTGGGGAGAACATTTAAATAGCAAAGAAGGTATGTTATTCATTCTATTAAAATTTAATGAACTCAATGATTAAGGCCTCATGTCTAAGGCCTGTTTTTTTAATCTAGTTTAAAATAAATAATGATCAGTAAATATTATTATTTTTTAGTTGAACAAATTTTTCGAGAAGCCAATGTCCATCCAAATGGCAAAGTTAACTATGATGAATTTGTAAAAATTGCTTGTGCGCCAATTCCTGATTATTACTAATCGTCACATTTCTAAATGATTATTTATTGATTTGGTCTTAAGAACATTGATTGATGTACCCCTCCTGTAGTGGAATTCCATCTATGGCCGTCACTAATTTCAAAATTCTGGGGTTGCATTAAAAATTATCTACAAAAGATTTGTATAAAGTTTATTTTTCAAAAGTGAAAATAATTAGTCACTCGCTAATACCTGTAATTCTTAGACAGCACTTAATGTTCAAATGCAGCTAATTTCATGCCATTACAATATTGTAAATATTTAAACTCAAATTTTTAATTCTAAAATTAAATGAAAACCAAGTTTTTCACGGAATAATTATTGTTTTTTATATAATATCAACAGTTAAACATTTTTTTAACCATGATACAACAAAAAACAAATCATTTTTATTAAGACTTGGGCAATAAAATATATTGTGTATCACTGATACATTTTCAAAATTAAAATATTTTTTTTTTGTAGTAAACCGGTACCCATACTATCAAAAATATCCCTTGTGACGCCTTAGATGCCATTCCTTATTTATTTGCATTCACATATTTTTAATACACTTGGATTGATACTGCCAAGTATTAAAAATGTAGATTTTCAACTATGTTTATTGTGAAACTGTTTATATTTGAATATTATGAATTGTTACTAATTTAGAATTTTTATACTATACTATACTAATTTTTAAATTAAAGATCAAATGAAAATGCACGATGCACATGTATGATGTTTTGATGAATTTAAAAATAAGTAAAAAAAAACATAATTTCACTATATGCTTATAATGTATAATGTATAATTTACTATATATATTTATTAAAATATGATTTAATATGGAACATAGTATTAATTATTTTTTAATGTTTTTAATATTTATCTTCCAATTTCTGATTAAGATTTAGGTATTGTAACCTAGGGTCGAAGTGAGTTGGGATGTAAGAGGACTTGGTCAATTGTAAGAAGTAAATTTATTAGTGTCAGATTAAAAAAAAATATATATACTGGCTTACCATAGCAGTATGGCACTGCCACTTAATATACAATTAATGTCAAATTATGTAATATCATATTTTGTAATAATTTGTTACCTCCTAATATTTTAATAACCTTCCTGTACCAGGTCTTTCATTTAACGAATATACTTATTCAAAAAGTATTAATGTTTTTGAGAATATTTATTTTACACGGTTTAAAGTTGTTACAAACCAATGTTTTTATTAAAACATTCCATTTTAAATATTTTATATTCTCATAATTTTTCAAGTATCAGAATTACAAGATACAGTTTTAATTTAATCTTTGAAAGTAGAATATTTTTCTGAGTATTTAGATACATAAAAATCAAATTTTTGGATAAGTAGTTTATGAGTTATAACTTTAAATTAAAAGGGTAAATATTTCTTAAAATATTTGAAACTGAAAATTGTATTATATACCAATTAATTAGTACGCTGTTGGCTTGTCACTATATTGTATGTGTTTTTTAAAGTAACAAAATTCATACATGAGTTGTTACAAATAATATTTAAAATAATGATGAACCTAATAATACTTTCATAAGATTATACTCAATTGAAATTAATAAATAATCAACTAATAATTTGAATTGATAGAATTTTGTTTTATTATATATTACATTACAATTTAAATAATTTTTTTTAAATATTACTTTGTCATAATAACTTTTGAAATCCAACCAATTTTTTTCAACAGTAATATTTTTAAAAAAAAGTTTATACAATATGAATAATAAAGTTTTATTGAATTAACGTTTTTCCATTGCGTCCCATGGCGTGTGATTCAATTGGACTGAATGTAACTGTAATTCTAAAACATAAACAAATATTAAATAAAAAATATCGTATATTCGTTTCATTAAAAAATATTAATTCACATTTTTTTCCTTTGAAATATAATCGTAGTGTTTAAATAATATATATATATAGGGTGTAACAGAAAGATAACAAATAAAATAATTTGTGTTCTATTCAATATTTTTGATTTTTTTTCAATATAATTAATAGATGCTTGTAGTTTGTACAACACGTATTATTACTTTTTAACCATTACAACGATGAAAGAAAAAATAATATTAATAAAAACACAAATTGTTTCATTTGTAATATATCTTTTTGTCACACTCTATATGGCTCTATATATAGTATATAATATATAATACAATTATTGTTCTGTTTGTCTGTTTATATTATATTGTGTGTTTAATTGTACAATATACTATTGGTAAACGGTATACAGCACTACGCAATATAAATGATTATTATTGAATAAATAATAGATAATAGCTTTACGATTTAATAGTATTTCTACAACTGTTTAAAATTAAACTGTACCCATTTCAGTAAAGATACATATCTATTTCTACATACACACTTAAGGTTTATGTATTTTTGGATGTTTTAAATTACCTATATCTTAACCCGAAATACATACACATTATATGAAAACAATATTTTATTCTGCTCACCTATTTTCATTTATTTTTAGATATTTCGTAATCAATGAAAACAATGCAGCCGAGTGGAGTTTGTTATCAATTTCATTTATACCATCAACGCTGAGTAATGATACAATCACTGCTGGCTCTTCAGCGGAACCAGCAATAGTAATAGGTTGGTTTCCATTTACAAATACTAAAATATCCTAAAAACAATTATTACATTTTAGCATTTCATTTTTATTATAGATATAGATATTAATATATTTTGTAGGTATCACTGGTATCAGCATTAATTATAAATACTTTTTTTAATTACTAGAATTTATAATCAATGGTAACAGTTTTGGTACAATGGTACATTGGTACCTATTATTGAGTTTCAAATAGGCAAATACTTCATGAAAGCTAAATATAAATAATTATGTACTTACAGATTTCGGTTTTTTTAAAGTTTTAGCAAGAGCTTCTGTACTCTGCACTAAAAATTCGTCATCGATGTCCGAATGTTAAACATTAGTATCAAGTCTTAGGATAGACATTTTTTTAATTAACTGTAAAAACTGTCAATGGCTAAAATAAAAACGTATGTTTAATCTTCACGTCCTCCTATTTATTAATAAATGATTAACTAGTTCAACAAGCAAGTCAGTTATATATATATTATACAAGTAGATTAATTCAATTTTACATAATACCTTGCATAATAATAGGTAGGTATATAATACATTATTACGAACTTCTCTAAAGATTATATGTATATTTATTTCATAAAAAAAAACTTACGTATAAGTACTCTGAATCATTTTTTTAAAGTAAAATAAAAGTGCGTTCAACATTAGATAATAAAGTTTATAACAATTATGATATAATAAAAATGTTGAGTCCTCTATTATCTAATAGCATGAGCAGGCAAATCAATAAAATCACAAATTACACAAGATATTTTTTTTAATTTATACCAAAAAAAATGTTTATTGATTTATTTTAATTATGATAATTTTTCTATCATTAATTTATTCTAAGTTGCTTACCAAAAAAATAATTGATGAACATAGTTACATATTATTATATTATTGCAGTGTAAAATCATTTTTAGTATTGTAAAAATATTGTTGTTTTGCTTTTATATTATTTTACCTTCTGTAAAGTATAAAATCCGTTGTTTTATGATGATTTAATTTACCTGCGGCTTTAATTTAAGTATTGACGTTACAATTAAATTAATACTACATCTGCAAACTGAATAAAATAACTGGATGTGCAATACAATCCCCAATTGAGAATATTTTTAGTATTATATATAAAATTATCATTTTGATATTAAAAAAGAGGAAACAGTTATGCAGTACAGTAACACTGAATAACAGTCAATATATGTGAATTTAGGTAAATAATTCCGCCATAAAATAATTTTAGTGTACTTGGCAAAGGTGTTTGGAATGAAAAATACGATTAATATATAAATTATTTAAAAATTATCATGCCTATACCAAACTAAAAATATATATTAAATATAACATGGATTTATATTTAAAAAAATAAATGATTGATTTACATATATTTTAAATAAGTTTGAAAATAATAATAAAATTAAAAGTTGCTTTTATTTACTACCTTATTTATTATTAAAAATAGTTATATTTATGTTTATAAAAAAATCAAACGATAAACACATAAATACCCTTTACGTCAATATGTACAAAAGTCAATGATAAACATTTTAAATAATTTTACTTCTTTCAATTTTTTTTTGGACATTTTTGAAACCTATCGGAAAATTTTATTTCTTAACACTGACATTTTAGCTTGGTCCAATTTCACTACGGACACTCTTGATTTCGGAAATTTTTAGTGGCAAACGTGGACATTTTTGTAGTATATCAATATCAGTATAATTTGATTCCTATTGTAAATCATTGAATACCAAAAACGAGGCTGAACGGAGACAGCCGTCAGTCTATATTAATAAGTGAATTTCACGATGTGATATCCATTTTTGATGTTTCTAATAAAGAAAGTAATTTTATTTACTATTAGTAATATACAATATACTAATATAGTAGGTTGATTTATTTTTGCGAAAATCTTACATTTATTTTATTATTAATACAACTGTACATAAGGACGGTATTATAACTGGTATAAGTAGTATGCATATTATAGTTATATACCATTTATTACATTTTTATCATAACTTTTGAGTTATACATAGTTAATATCACAGAACAGATTAAATACCTCCTACAATAGAACAGTAGTTTCCAACCGTGAGTGGGAATTTTTCGTCAGGGAGGAATTTATTTAGATACTGCATTAGGGGAAAATAGTGGTGATGAAATAACGAGAATTTTGTTGTTGAAATAATTTTGCCATTTTACAAACAAATTGATTTTCAGACGGTCGCCCACAGATAACAATTTATTATATAGGTACCTTGTTCCTACGAGTATAATTTTATACTGATTGACCTCTCGAAGGTAATCTAATATTGATAATTACAATGTTTAACCATAGAGTATAATATGTAGTTATTTTGTATCACTTGAACAAAAAAAATAAAGTCGTCTAAACTCTAAAGGGGAAGTGGAGTAAGCGGTGATATTGAATAGAGTCCACATTACTTTTATGTGTTTAAATTAAGTTCAGTTTATTATCTTAATATCTTTGAATTGAGTCTGTATAGATAAAATATCATATTATTTAAACGAAAATGACGTAGTCCAATGTTTCAAGGAAGATTTGATGGCAATAAAACCATGTGATGACGAAAAAAATAGCAGTTTTACTTTTTACAGATTATATTTTAAATAATTACTTTGACAGTTTCCCGCCAAAGTTTGGTGTGATTTTTCAGCAAGCACTAATTGAACCACTATCAGTTGTGAAAGTTTACACACAAAATTAAATGCATTTTTTCACTCGGGACATCAAAATATTTTTATTCCGTTGGCACACTTCTGGGAATGTAGTTCAATACATACATAAAATTACGAAGCAAAGCAACCAAACCATGTAAAAATTCATTGGAAAAGGAACAATTTTTCAACAGACAAACAAATATATAAATAAACAAATTTGCTCATTCGACTTTTTTAAATCTGTATCATTTAAATTTTACCAGCAATACTATTTAATTAGCATCATTGTATTATTATATTGGCTTTTTATACTTTTTATAATTACGATTAAAAAAAAAACAGTGTAAACAATCTCATAATCACACACATTTTTTGGGCGACTGCTCAGCCAACCTGCACGTGGTGTCTGGGTAACTCTAATAGGCTGATGGGATTCAACTCGAACAATCTAACAATATTGGTCGGACTCAACTCCGATAACCCAAAAGTATTTAAGGAGCTCAATCAATTGTTATCCGGAGTGAGAATTTTGAAAATGTACACTAAAAAAGGGACTTAGAACAAAAAAGCTTGGGTACCACTATATTAGAATAAACTATTTTGGAGGAACCTTGTACTCAATTTTAATACCTTAGTTATATTCATATTAAAATAATTTGTAAATGTTCGTGATTTAGAAGAATTTAAACTTCAAATGCTTGCTAAAATATTCTGCTTTTGACAAGTCTGTATAAGATAATTTTAGGCTCGAGATCGAGTTATAAAAATATATCCATATCTATGTTTTAGGAAAAGTACTACACACCTGGGGCGCATCACCATTGTACAATGTCCGCTGTGGGCACAACGCCATGGCCTCCTACCTCCTACCTCCTACCCCTTGCTCCTTTAATCAGGGCTTGGCTTTTGAATGTGATTAAGAATTCCGGTTTTCTCAATTATTAAGAAATGTCCTAGTCATTTTATATTTTTAATCCTCATGTCATTACTAATTAGTTCCAAGTTCCAACTAAATTCACTTTCCTACCACAAAAGATATCGAAGTTGAAAATCCAAGCATTTTTACTGTTCCAAAAGGTGATGAAGTAAAAAAAAACACATCATTGTAAAATGAATACATTCATAGCTTCTCTAAGAATCTAAAATATTGATCACATTCATGAAATATAATATATTATACATCTCAAGTTTGAAATATTTTTCACACACGTGTATGACAGATACCTACATGAAAATATAAACAATATAACAATACCCACAACGATATATTTTTATATAAAATCGGGCTGTTTTGGAACCGAATTACAACAAAACGATAGCCATTATTCTTCATGTTAATATGTAATTTTGTCCAAATTTGAAATCCCAATTTCTGTTAAAAATTACTGTTTTAATACATTTTTAAGATTTATTAGTTATGGAAATAACTGCTTAAGTGGAACCTTGTTTTAAATTTTCAATTTCTGGCTATAAAAATTGAATATTTTATACATTTTTAACTACAAAATCATTTTCAATTTTCAACTTGATAAATATTGTCAAAATTTGAACTTTAAATGCTTATAAAAAAAAAAAAAAATGCCTATGTATTTTTAATATTTTTCAACTGCTATTGTAAAAAGCTATCAAGAGTTGTATTAAATTTTCATGCATTTCTACCCAACCAATAAAACTGTATTGACACTTATAGAAAAAAAAGAAAATTGAAATGTTCGTCAACAGCATAAAACGAGTCTGAATATTTTGAAAATTGTATAAAGTATCTGAATTGATGAAATAAACGTTTGGTGTAAATTTCAAGTGTTTACAATAATTCATTTTTGAATTTCAACAAAATAAGAAAATCGCTACAAGAGAAATCGAGTGAATACCCAAATTTGTCAAAATTTCAACTTCGAACTCTCATAAAAATTTAACTTGACTTTCCGGTAAAAATGTTTGGATCAAGGTTGTAAGCTTGTAAGAAATCTTGTATTAAACTTTTAAATCTTAGATATAAATAAAAACATTTTAATGCATTTCTAACTAAATATAATTTGCTAATTTTCATGGTTTTTACGAATTTTGTCAAAGTTCTAAGTTTAAACACTGATAAAAAATTATTGTGGATGTACGCTCAACTTTTTTTTTTAATTTCCATTAACCACAGCTTACAAAGAACCTTGTATTACATTTTCAAGTTTTTTGACAGAGCGTGCTTACACAAATATTCAGTGAAAATTTCATGTATCTACGGTCATTTTTGTTAGAGTTACACTAAAAACCAAAATAGATTTTTTCGCGTAAAAATTCCAGTTTTTCCTTAATTTTTTGTTTGTTTTTTCTGTTGCTTTTGAAAACTATTGGGAATTTTGACCTCCCGAATGCACCAACTAGATTCACTTTCCTACCAGAAACGGTGATGCTATTTAAGAAAATCATAATGACACACAAAAAAAAAATTAATTAATTAATTAAATTAAAAACACACATCATTGTAAAATCAATACATTCATCGCTCCGCTCAGAATCTAAAATACTAGGGGGGGGGGTTGAACACCCAAAACTCCCGTTTGTACGACTATTGTTAATGATAGGTACGTCATAGGTACCTACTAAAAACTGTAAGAACCATAATTATACCTATGTGTCCATAATGTATTACAGGTTCCAATATAAGAAATAGGAGTAGACTATGAGATAATGATTATTGCATAATTCTTTTTTTTAATGAATTTATATTTATTTTTTTAATGCATTACACAACGGACGATTAACATGATAAATACGGAGTACCTATAATATAATACGAATATCTCATAAATTAGTTATTGTACTGGAGCTATACAATTGGTTCACTTCTCTAACGTACCTATAACTGTATTAATCAGTTGACATTTTTCATATTGGTATTTAACTATAGAGAATCAACAACATGCCAACTTTAAGCATTACCACTAACTTACCAAAATACAGAATTCCATCAACATTTTTAGCTGATGTATCAACATTAGTCAGCCAAGCACTCCAAACACCAGAACAAGTAAGTTAAATGTATTATTTATATTTCATTGACACCTATATATAGCTATATAGGTACTGCTATAGTATACCTACACTGTACTACCTATACTATACCTACATTACAATTTGGAACAATGTTATATTAGAAATATTTTCAGAATATTTCTAATTATTGTGATTTGTACTTTTGTAGTGTTTGTACCTATTCTGCAAATTTAAGCTTAGAACTTGAAGTAAAAACTGATTTTGTTTTTCTAGTTCTGACCGCGTTTGATTACACTTAACCGTCAACATTGAACATTCATCTAGGTACATTAAAATATTTTGCCCAATGACAGCACTTAATAGTGAAGAATTGGATTTTATACAATTTTACGAGTTTATGAGTTGTTACTGCTAGATTGCCTCTAATTGATAGCACATAGGGTAACTTGGGGAAGCACAAAAATAAAATAGAAAAGGCTAGTGGTGTACCAATATTTAATTTTGATATCTTCCTATTAATGGAAGATACAGAGGTCTTTTTACCTGAGTAGGTAAAAATATAAGTAAATGATTATGCTTTTATCAAACGGGTCATGACTCACGACACATCTCAGGGGTGGTCCCATATTAATTTTATCAAGATCTGGTGAACACTTTTAGAGATAGAGAGAGGAACTCCACAACTAATAACAGTTAATCACTATAGCTATAAGCAAAAATTGGTTAGTTTACTCTTTTACAGTATACATTTCTGAATCTATTGACGATTTATATTTTAATGAACAAGGTGGTCCCATATGATTTTGATGACGATTGATGAAAACCTACAAATTCATCTCAAAGACGAAGAACGGAACTCCTCAGCCTATAAACATTTCCGAATCTCGACAAATACTGCTTTAATGTACATTATATATTTCTACATCTATTTGTTTCTTTTTTTTAAATATATATAACAGGAATTTGACACTTTAACACTTTAAAGGCTATTGATCAACATAGATAGGTTCTTACAAAATACGTGAATCATACAAGTCATAAATTGAATACCTACAGTTTTTATTTTATACTAAATAGTATCGAAGTTGGATTCAACTTTTATCATTTTAGATAGCCTTTACACATGTATCGTATATTTATCGATCTAGATTGCGTATAGCCTTATTTCCATGGGCGGATGGGTAATTTTTTTTAACCGGGATATATTTATTAGGGCCGTACATATACGGATGTACCTAGCGCCTATATATTGTATGTAAAAAAAATTTAACTTTTTTTGAGTTTTATCGTTGGCACATTTACTTAACAAATCTGGATCCATTATTTTTTCTTTTTGAAGCCCCACTTTCGAAATTTCGTTTGGACATAATTAATAATGATCATATAATATGTTATTTAATAAATTAAAACACATTTAGCAAAAAGTCAGTGTCACAATAGCCAATAGGAAAAGTAAAATAAAAATAATAACACCTGATAAAATTTTAAATAATACCGTAAGGCATAGAGTAAGAAATAAAAATAGGTAAATTATATTATTGTACTTGCTTACTTTATACTTTATACTGTTTATTTGTTGATGTAAGAAAAAATGATATTTTAGACTTTCATATTAATACGCATTGTCTAAAAACAGAACAAATCGAATTTATTACGATACAAAGTTATGTGTATAGACGTAGATAGTAGATACGGCATACTTAGCTCTCACTAATCGAAAAATTAATTATTATTATGGTTGTTAATATATGTTATTCGAACATCGATTATATGTATTTATATATAAATTTAAATTTTATACATTATTAAGTTTTAGCACAATAGTACATACAATAAAATACATACATAGTTGTATTTGTACGGGTATCGACGAATTTATACTAAGGCCTCTTGGCCCTAATGGATACAAATATTACAAATACTCATTAATACTGTACAGCCGCCAGGGCGGCAGACAGTATTATAAAAATGTACTTTTATATTATTTTTATTATTATTAATTTTTAATATTTTGGGATATTATCAGAGGCCTCTGAGTATAATATTGATGGGGGCCTACCGGGGAAATCCCGATTTCTCGATGGACCTATCCGCCCATGCTTATTTCCACCAGAGATTTCTCGTCGTGTGGTACCTATATTTAATAATTTATTGCTATCTAAGCCAGACAAGCAATATTTCAATGTCTGTTGGAGGATTCATTTGACAAGCGTGCACGTATCAAATTAAGGCGATCGTCCTCCATTTCGTTTGATAAGCGTTCGGGTATCAATGTATCATACTAAGACGATGAGCACGATTTTCCAAGTTTTTGAATCGGAGTTTAAATACAGATTTTCTTTGTGAAAATCTTTGTTCGAGTTTGTCGATACATTCTTAAGGTCCACCTATATTCCCCAAAATATTTCTTTTTCTATTTTTATTTAAAAGAATTTATTTTATTTGTCTTAGCTAATCTTTGAAGTCTCGTACGAACAGCATGTTTATTAGCTAACCCATGCATGTCTTTCGTCTATTTAAAAAAATGTTTAAAAACAAAAACCTACTCAAACGAAGTCTACTAAAGAGAAAATAATAATTTTAGTTTCAGAAGTATACTACTGAGTAACTAGGTATTCCAAATCAACCAGAACAGTACAATAATTTATTTTTTTTTAGATGTCGGTGCCAAGTCACGCCACAACACTTTCGTGCACCGGTGAGACTCGGCGGCGCAAAATCAAAAAAAATATTGTACTATTCCGGTTGGTTTGGAATAGTTACCTCATGTTACTTAATAATATACATCATTTTGGAAGTAAATTATTTCGTTTTTTTTATTGATTCTTATGGACCTACTGTAATAAAATCGGTTTTGGTTGTTTTTTAAAGTTTTTTCACAATTTAGTTTTTCAAGCTTCCCCAAGTATATCTATACAGTTGGCAGTACCTATATAATGTGACTTTATGTTGTGAAATTTTTTAAAAAGTTGAACAATAAAAATTTATTTCAAATTAATTATTGATACCTATATATCTAGTCTATAATATAGGTATTGCTTATGAACTATGTTATTACTTATCACCCAGTTATTACTTACTATATAGGTAGCTAGGTTTAACCTATCTATTACCTAATTTATATATACATCAATATGAATCAATTATTTTATCCATCTATCTACCTACATATATGATTGATCAAATTCAAATTTTTAATTATTTCAGTACATTGCTGTGAGAGTCAAGGCTGGACAACAGATGTTTTGGAATAATAATGAATCACCTTGTGCACTGGGAAACATAACCGGAACTGGAAACTTCGGAATTGAGGAAAATAAGCACTATGCTTCAATTATATACGATTTCGTTGAAAAACAACTTGGCATACCCCAAGACAGGTATATTAAGTTTTAGATCGATTAATCTGTTCAAACAATGTTATATAATATATTATGGTATTCACAGACCTAATTATTATTTATTATATTGCGTTGATATCCATTATTTAAAAACACCTAGTTTATTAGGCATATGATTTTTAAAATTTTAAAAAAGTCAATAGACTTAACCTAAGTAAAGTTAAGGATAAATATTTCTCTTTTTTAATCTTTTGTAAATTTTTCCTAGGTACCTACTTACAGCCTATAATACATCGCTCTTATAAAAATAAGGTTTGCTAATGGCCATAGTTGCCCGGCTGAAGACCCATAAAAAAAAATAAGCTTTAGATCAAATTTTAATACTGATACCAAACTTTTTTTCATCATTTTGAACAAAAAAATTATTTCTTTTGTTACAATGTTACTAAACACAATATAATAATTTATGACGTCAGAGATAATGTCGGAGACTGCAAAATTATAGAAGTACATGTAAACATGTAACCATTTAAAAATAAATTAAGTTATCTAAATTCTAAAGACTAGGGGCATAGTACAAAGTAGGTACCTAACTACTTGCTAAATAAGTAAACATATTTAATAAATATTCTGATTCATATAATCTCATTAATACTGCTTTTCTAATATTTTATAGGTAGGTATATTTTATTTTAAACATACATAACATTCTATATTTGTGTTTTTTCATAGTTTAAACTTGTGCAGTTATACCGAATAACACTTTTGATGATTAATAAGTAGATATAATTTTTAATTTTTAATAAAATAGGTACCTATAGTAATATATTTAATTTAAATATAAGGCACTATTGAAACATAATTGTTATGTTGCAGATTTTATTTATCATTCGTGGAACAAAAACCAAGTAATGTTGGAGTCAAAGGTACTACTTTACAAGAGATTATTCAATAGATTGTCAGATCCTCGATGATAATGTGACAATAAAATAATTGTTTTTTTATGACTTTTAAATCTATTGTGTAATAATATTATAATACTAATAAATAATTTGTTTTCATTCCGTATACTTTTTTTCTGAAACTATACAAATCAGTATCAATTATTGTGGAAGGTACCTGAATTAGGTAGCATAAGCTACAGTCTAAAGATGAACATTTTTATAAGTTAGTGGCTATTTTTGTGTGTATTACGATTTACGACACACTTTGTGCACTTAAAAAAAAAATGCGCACCGGCCACCTAAGATTTTATATAGATATGGCAAAATTCCATGTTCAACCACACTGTAAATATGTAAAAAGATACTGTTATTTTTCAAATTAAGTTTCTGAAAAGAAAAAATGTAGAAAGTGTGTTCATTGGGTGTAATGTACATTTAATTAATAATATTATGCATCATTTTTACTATAATATTGTGTGTGCATCTTCAATATTCATATAAAACAATAAACAGAATAGTAAAGTAAATACCAATGAAAATAATATGATTTTTTAGTTGTGATTGGAGTGATAATGTAGGTCAGGGGTCTCCAACCTACCCGTCTATAAATTATAGATTTTTTTTACTCATTTAGGTTTTTTTATTCAATTAAGACTATTTTTTATAAACTTTATACGCTTATTAATTTAGGTTTTTTTATTTAACTTCTTTTCTAGATTTATTCAGTTTTTTTTTATTCTTATTAGATAAAAACCAATGTTTGAGAAATTATTCTAAATTTAATAAATAAAAAAAAAATGATTCGATATTTAATAAAACAATACAACTGGAATAAAAAAAAATATGATGAATTGAAAATGTTATTTCATTAAAAAGTCCAGTTGAGGACAAAAATCTATATTTTAATAATCAAAATTTAATTTGAATAAAAAATATTCTTGATTAAATAAAAATTCTCAATTAATAAAAAAATTGAATACTTATAAAAAGCGTAAGTTAGTAATAAATCTAAAATTAATAAAGAATATTCTTCATTAAATATAAAGCCTAAAATATTAAAAAATATAATTCTAATAAAAAATCGAATTTATATAAAAATCTAAATGGAATAAAAAATATTCATAATTGGATTCAATGCCTAAATTCAATAAAAAAAAATGCATATTAATAAATTACTTAAATTAATAAAAAATGTGAATTAATAAAAAAAATCTAAAATGAATAATAAATATTCTTAATTTAAAATTCTAATTGAATATAAATGTTTGATACCAGGTTCGAATGCGTAGGTGAATAAAGATGGGCCATGCAAATTTTAAGTTCCTGGATTAAAGTGGGGGGCTAAGGTCAAGTTGCCCCCCCCCCCCAAGTAAAAAAAAATTGTTTTCCGAGGAAACAAAAACCATACAAATTCTAAAAACCCTATACCAATTTCTAGCTAATGAGTAGCAATTTTACTAAAGTGGTTTGAAGTTTCTGGGTTCAAGTGGGGGGGAGGGGTAACATCGCGCACGTTTTGCAACGGCCCGTCAAGCTAATTAATGTTTTGAAAATCAAAAATAAGTTTTCATAGTTTTTAAATTCTAATTAAACAAATTGAATTTATCATTTTTTCTTTCGGTACTTTTCATAAGTTATGAATCATAACAACTTATTATAGTCATACATATATTATTTACTGACATTATCTAATATTAATAGAAAAACTCGTCAATCACACTTATCCGACTCCCATTAAACTCGGAAGTTACACAATGGTCAGATAAGATACGATCGACTTGTTCCGCTATACTAATAACGCTATCGAACGTGTGATCGACGAGTTTTTCGAACTCTGCAAGTCTACTGTAATATATTTTGCTGTTCTAGTTCTCACTTATTTTAAAGAGCAGTTCCAGACTCAGTTTAGAAGTTTCAAACTTGCGGAAGACGGTATTTTAATTTTTGATAATCTTTTTTTCAATAAAATTCGAAACTTTACCTACAGAGCTTCAGATTGAAGGTATAAAGCTAATATCAAACACATATTTTAAAGACTATTTCAAGGAAAATAGTCTCCGACAATTTTACATCATGTAGCCAGAGGAATCATTTCCAAATCTCAAAAAACAAGAGCGTGAGATGATGTTAATATTTAGCTCAACATACATGTGAGCAGATGTTTCCGAAAATGAAATACGTCAAATCTTAGTACAAAACAACTTAGGTGACGAACATTTACAAGCGACGCTGCTAATTCAAACCAACATTTTTCGAAATAAATATTATCTATGCCTCAATTTCATTAGCTAACTATTCCTCTAAAAATGTTGGCCCTCAATGGCAAAGCGTGTTTGAAATTTGGCCCGCCCTAAAAAAATGTTGGAGACCTCTGGTGTAGGTATTTAGATAACTACCTATTAGTGTTAGTAGCTTTACTGGTTTAATTTTGAATAAATTAGTTGATTTCTTATTCAAATTGTAATTGAGTAAATTACCTATCATGGATATAGTAGCCAGCAAGCACCCACTATAAAAGCAAACGAAAAAAAGTATTATAAATGTAACTATAACGGATTTATAAGACTTATTAATTATTATATATGTTTCAGGCTCGTATTTTATCAGCCAAACCCCACAATGCTGATGTTGATGTAGAACGTTTGTTTCGTACTTAAACATTATAAAAACAATCTATTTTTTAAAATTTAAAGATCTATCTTAATATTTTATAGTCGTAGATACTGTTAAATAAGATGTTAAACATTATTTAACTTGTCAATTTTAATAAGTGATTTTGACTAGCTACTACCACTTACAATCACCAACAAAATTATGGTTTGGTAAAAAAAATTGACATACCTAATAAGTAATAAGATACATCCAAAAACCACTTGCAGGTAAAATTAAATTCATCCAGTATAATAAATACTAAAACTATAAGACCTTCGTACTATAGGTATAAGGTAGTTTTAGGTACCTTTTGAGGGGAAGTAATGCTAACGCGGTCCCCCCTCTGGTTCTCGATACCACGCAAAAAAAAAAAAGGTACCTATACGCAGTGGCGTGNGGGGGGGGGGGAGGTTAGGGGTTATATCCCCCCCCCCATTGACTTTTTTTTGTTGAGCAAATTTTGTATTTGGATAACCATAATAATTTAAATGTACTTTTACCAAAACATTTATAACATATATCCCCCCCATTGAAATTTCCTAGGCACGCCACTGCCTATAAGTAGGTATTTGGTAGGTATATTAAGTTGATAATTATTTTAAGTCGACTATCGATTGATTATACTGTTATACCATTTTATTATAGCATATTAAATATAAATAGAGTCGAGTATTGACTACTGTTTAAATATATCTAATAAATATATGTATATATTAATACAGTAAAACCTCATTACTCCGTACTTCGCTTAATCTGGACAGCGGTTTATCACACTAGTTCATGATGTAGATTAAAATAAACATGAAAACAAGTTCAATTATACAACTACCTATGCACTACTTTTTAGGTTTATTATTGTTCGATATATGTATTAGATAGACTTAAGTATTGTAAGTATAGTAAAATAGCCAATACAATTTTTTTAAATTTATAATTTACGATTCATGGTTATTTTGTTTAATCCGGACTTTCATTAATTCAGACAACCTAGAAAACCAATTAGTCCGGATTAATTGTCAGTAAAATTGTATTGGTTGGGTTAAAAAGTATGAAAATTAAATACAAAACTCTTGATATATTGTTACAATAGCAGTTGAAAATTATTAAAAATACAAAGTTACAATTTTTTTGTCTATAAGCATTTAAAGTTCAAATTTAGACAAAATTACATATTAACATTTAACACAATGAATAACGATTTTTGTCATTTTGTTGTAATTCGGTTCCAAAAGAGCCCAATTTTACATAAGTTCATTTAATATTTTTTTAGCATCACTGATAATTTTAGAATAATATTAATTTAACTTATTGGCTACCGTATTAAATGTTAATAGAAGGTAAGTAATAACAATATAAAATATCCTAGACTGACATACCATCTCTGCTCAGAATCATTTTTCGTATACAATGATATTATAATATTATATCATTGAATTTAAAGTTAATACCATTTATTACAGCGACCTTCTAGTCTCTAGACACCTAATATACAGCAGAGCTGCAGAGCGACATCCACTTACGTCCTACCTTTTTTTTATATTTAAATTTGTTATGTAATTATACGTGGAAAAAATAATCAATTTGTTACACAATTATAAGTTGTAATAATTAAGCTTTTAATCACTATATTAAAAATAAATAGCCACAAAAACATGACGTAATATTGGTTAACTTTTTTTTAAATTGTTAATAGCTCAACTGCTATAATTATGTGATCTGTACTTACAGGCACTCATATAATAAAATAAAACTTATATTAGCGTATTCTATAACATGTTCTATGTATTTATGATCATTATTCTAATGTAATAATATTATATTCTAACAATTTTGTTTTTTTACGATTTTAAATAAATCTCTCATTATTTCAAACTTTCAACTAAAATGCCAATTTTGCAAATTGATACCAATTTATCAATGACTGATGTGCCATTAGATTTTTCAATCAAGACTTGTGAACTAATGGCAGATGTTTTTAAATCACCATTAAACGTGAGATAATAAAATGCTTAAAAACATTATTGTAACATACTTTTAATATTCTCATATCTCATACTTGTTTCTTGTTTTTTTAAATGGATATTTTCAAAAACTAAGCTCTGGCATGGTGATTAAATGGCTTGTTAATTCGCATTCTGGGGTTTATTTTTTGATGAGATACCAAACGAAAGTACTTAGGAAAAACTTCTTAAACTAATTAATTGTTGAGATAAAAATATAGTATCATAAATGGGATAACTTAACAAATTGTGATTTAGTTGAGAAATTATCAATTAAAAAAAAAAGAATAATTACATAAATTACTATATTATTTAATACTTTAATTCACATAATTTTTAAACTAAAATTTAGAAGGTTAAAATTTAAAGGTGTTAATTTCACATTAAAACTAAACATAAATTTACAGCACATCTGTACATAGTCTTGTATAGTTGTATAAAAATATTATATAACAGTATAGAAATTGTAAATTATGTATAATTATTGTTAAGAACTTGAGATATTAATTAATACCTATTTTAATTTGTACATTTTACTTTTTAATTATAGTTTTGTGTTGTGCACATAAACCCTGATCAAGAGATATATTGGTATGGGTTAGATGGTCCATGTGTCTTAGGAACATTGAAAATTGTAGGCGGCTCTGGAACAATCAGTTCCAAACAAAATATTGGACACGCTGAAAAACTTGTAAAACACATCAGTGATAATTTAAAATTATCCAATAAGAAGTATAAACATAAACAATATTATTACTTATACAATTTTTAATATTTCAAATGTATAATATAAGATTCTTATTACATTATTTCAGTATATCAATATCATTTGTTGAACAAGATGCAGGAAATGTTACAATATTTAATACTACTGTATCAAACTTTTTACAAAATAAAAATTAAACATTAATGACAAAGTGCAAAGACATAGCTTTTGTTTTAAAATTAATTAATTATTTAAAAAAAATCTACAGCTCTTGAACGTTTGGACACATTGATATTCAATAAGTTATCAGTAAGGTTTTTAGGTACTTCATACGGTTTTTTCTGATAAGTAGGTGTAGATTTTTTAATATTGCTTTTTAATCCAGAAATTGATGGAGATCCAGATGGAGTTGTATGCGGTGATGGACTATAAGATGCTCTTAATGCAGCATCTCTTCTTCTATCACTACTTATACGGTTACATACCAGTCTTTGAGCTGCTGGTGACATAGAATTTAATCGATCCAATGGACTATTCATTAGATTAGAAGGCGATGGTCTAAAATTGTATAAAGAAAACAAATTTTAAAAATACATATTCATTTAAAAAAAAAAATTTTAAAAAAATTCCTTACGTAGATAATTGTTTTCGGGCTGTCTCTAGAGCTTTTATTTTTTTATTTCTATGACCTTCACTAGCTTTTTCAGCTAGTGCATGTGCTAATCTTTCACGTTTGGGTTGTTCAGGTATTTTGAAAATAGGACCAGAGTTATGAGGAGTCAGTGGAGTATCACTACCATCCAAACGGAATGGAGTACCTTCAATTTCTCCCCAGGTCATCAGTGGGCTTTGATTAACACCAGGAGCTGGGGATGGAGTTTTAACAAATCCATATCCATTAATTTTAGGGGTAGAAGATGTTAATTCTTTGCCATCAACTCCAATTTTGCCATCCAATTGTCTTGTCTGCATGTGTGCTAAACTGCATAGTTGTTGTTTGTTATGTCTTTCGTCAAATGGGTTTAATTTGAGTCTTGTGTTAGAATGGTCAATTTTTTGTCGTTTGGATGCCATATTTATAAGTTCGTCTTTTGTCAAAGTAACTCCATCAGGAATATACATAATAAAGTTTTTGTTTTTAAATGCCCATGAGTCTAGATTAAAAGCACGTTCTGGATTAGATGCTTGGCTTTCAATTGAAGGCACTTCAAGTTTATCAACCATTTCTAATGCTTTTTGTTCACCTTCAAATAACCATGCATTCTAAAAATGATATGTTGATTTATTATTTATTATATATTTATTAATTATTTAAAATTCAAAACCTTTTTTTTGTATTGAATTTCTGCTTCTTTAATGATTTCATTAAAACTATGATTATCTTCACTTGTAGTATTGCTTAAAAATTTGTCCAATCCAATAATTTCTGAAACATGAATTGTGTAATATAATTATGCATATAACTAGTAACTACATTAGAAATATTGGAATATTGGAATATTTTAATAATTATTTTGCAGCAATTGTTCAAAAATTAAAATTCAATAGATCCAATTCAGCCATTAGATTGAATTGTTATTCTGAGTTAGCATAACCATGGTGGCATAGTAAGAAATAAGAAGTATACTCAATAATGAGACTGCGTTTTTTTTTTTTATGAAGGGGCACACATCACACGACACAAGTATATATTTAATCTTATGCAATGCAGTATGCACAAAAATACAAGGTGATGCATATGAGCAAACGAGGATGAAAACACAGCTCATGTTGAGCATAAATATTTCTGATTTCTTATACTATGATCATAACTACTTTAATTTTTTTAGGAAATATTCATACGGATTATCCCAACCGCCACAATATCAGAATTTATTCTATATTATAATTATTAACATCTTAAATGGTGTACTAAACAATACTATGTTCTCATGCTTAAAAGCGTGAGGGGTTGTAGGGTTCAAACACTTCAAACCAAAAATATTGCTTTGCTTCAAATTCCATGGCGACACTTTTCACTTTTTATAATATTATAGTAGAAATGACAAACCATATATGTAACAAAAACAAATTAATATAGTCTTGGCACTTAAAATCTGATTATGTGGTAGTCGTGATAACTCAAAAGTACAGATTAAATGTATTTAAAAATGTTATATTTACTGACCAGTGTCTTTTGATTTAGAATCATCATTTTTACCATCATCTAAATCTGTAGGATCAACAGTTCTACTACTCATTGGTCCTTTAGTTGGCTGTGGTGTTTCAAATGTATCTGGGCTAGCATCTGCGGATGAAAAATAAAAATACACTAATATTACTGGTAATCAATAATACTAATATTATTGGTGATCAATAGGTTCTATAAAAAAAAAAATAAAAGATATTATTTAGTGATTGATTTTTATCACTTGCATCTATTTAAAATAAAATAATCAACACTGATCATATTTTTTTCAAGTACCTAAGTGAAAATAAACAATTAGGTATGACAATGCCAGTTGACCAAATATTTTGAGAATGAAACAATCAGAATTTCAATTATAATTCTATCATAATATATTAAGAATTCAGACTTTTTTTAGTTTTGAATATAACAAATTGTAAAACTACCTGGTTGTTCAATAAGCAATCGTTTGCTTAAACTATACTTTTCATATATTTCTCTTAGTTTCTTTGTATCATTTTGTTGAACTGCATCTAAATAATCTTTTTGGGCTTTCCATTTCTCTAAATCTGGAAAGAAATCCCTTTCTATAATTTTACCGATACTCTGGAACAAACAAATAAAAAGCAATGAATTAAAACCTAGTAATATGTACAAACCAAGGTAATTATGGTTAACCAATTATGAAGAATGGCGAAAATATAAATAGGCTTCGCCCCTCAACCGTTACATTTGATATCCATATTTATAAATTAAAGATTAAAATCAATATTGTTTAGGTAAGACAGTAAATTTGTAGGGAAATGCATTTTTTTAGCTTATTGTAAAACATAACTTTCTTAACACAAAGTTTGAATACAATCAAATTAATTTAGAATCTTTTTTTACATTTTATGAATTTTTTTATTTTAGCTATTCTTTAGCCTTTAGTGGCCAATTCTTAATTGCTTTTTTCAATATTTTTTACAAATATCATTTATTAAAAACTTTTTACTCACATTTTATGAATTTTTTTTAATGTCTGTCTTATACATTTTTCTAAATGGCTAAAAATAATTATAAATATTGTTTTTTCTTAATACAGCTTTGACATTATATAATATGTACAGTAAAACTATAAGTCTCATAGTAGAAATTGTGATACAATAAAAATTGCGTATACCGTATGGTATGCACAATACACTATAAAATACAGATAAAATATATTAATTTATCTTAAATGAAAACTTTTATGTATTTATGGAACATCAATATTCCCAAATCAGTTGTGCGCCATAAAAGCAACGCCTAATGATCCATCACCAAAATTCTACATGTAAGTGCTACTAAGTATCAGATAATTAAAACAAGTAAATATAATTCATATACATATAGTAGTAGACAATTTTAAAATGATAAGACTAGTTTTTGTAATATTCACATCAAATTAATGTTGGTTTTTAGATTCATTGTTAGTGATGACCATTCACAACTACTCAGTACTGATACATATACTGAGCAATAATAGTTGTTTATAATTTGATATCAAATGAGATACCTAACAAATATTATTTTTTTTATATAAATTAGTACTCGTTGTCCCTAGGTACTAGCTATTTTTTATAAATTATGCAATTATTTATATGGGTCATGGAAGCTGCAAAGTCTAATAAGACCTTCCCAATTTTAAGCTTAAACAAGGTACATTAATGTAAGTTATAAGTTATTACCTCTAAATATTCTTCTTCGGGCAAAACAGTCTGTGGTTTTTTGGCGTCCATCTTATAGCGTATGGGTTAGGTATTTGAATGAACAAGAAAATATGTTGCAATACTCCAGATTGTAGCTTATTATTTCCTTTTTAGTAGAATTCACTATAATTTGACACTTCCTTAATAAACAGCATAATATGACATGATAAACATGCAAGACATTATGATTTCAATCAGTAAATAAAAATTATACGTAAATATTAAAATACTAACTTGGTAAATACTAAATTATAATGTAAAATTACAGTAATAAATATTATGATGATGACATGATATGATAAAATAATAATCACGGACTCGGGACTACTAATAATGCAAAAAGAGGGACGGGTATAGTTATCCTGATTTTGATAAGCGAAAAAATGTTGATGATATCTCGATATACCACAACTCGTACAAGAATATACCAGAGATCCAGCAGTGACACCACCAATAAGAAATAATTTACAGTGATGCCTTGTTAGCGGCACTCGACGTCGCTACGCTCCTCGGCGCCTTCGCTCCGCTCCGCAAATCGAAAATATCCCTCAACTTGCTATGCAACACCACCTCAGGTTGGTCACTGTGTAACCGCTGTTATACCAAAGAACAACCACTCTTATCATTTCGGCCAAAAGCTTATCACTACCGCTATCAAAATCGAGAAATCTGTCTCAGCCCCACCCTATCCACCCTAATTATGAGAGCAGAAACCACGGATATAGATACTAGTATATATAGTATCTATATCCGTGGCAGAAACATGGTTCACGATTTTTAATACTGTAAATAGTGTAAGGTCTATAGACTATAATGGACAATGGTACTAAATTCTCCGAATTTATATTGACTTACAGAGAATAATATTATCTATGCTTAAGAGTTTTGATTATTTTGATAAATCAAATACTTGGTTTTGTATACGTAATACGTTTTGAAAGTATAAAGTTTTTTACCTACGCATAAAAAAATAACGAAATGTTATCGATAAAATCCAAACGTTTATGCACAAATAAAGTTTTTCCCTATTTACTGAAAATATTTGGTGATTTAACTTCAACTATCCACGCCATAGTATTCATTTCGCCCAAAACACTTCTTTTGTTAGATATTAGAAAATAATAAAGGTTATATAATTATTTTTTTATTTAATAAGATTTTAATGTTCAATTATGACATCTCGACAATTACAATTTATATAAGTACATGATATTTGTAAAGCTCACACTATTAAGATATATAATAATTAATAAATAATATCAAATCCCCTCTTATGAATCTAATAAGCAGAGAAGCACGCGCGTTTACGTGACATCTAAACACCTACGTCTCGTCAGCGCTCGTTTAGGTATACTAATTTTATGATTAAATTCTATAAACACATTAAAGTAAACTAAAATAAATAATATTACCTTTACCTATAACAACTATTATTACAATATTATTATTATTGCACTAGGACAATCTCCGCGCTTTAATGAAAACGGTACTTGTATTTTAGTTCTTCAGTGATATTTATAAAACAAAAATAGTACTTCGAATAAAAAAAACGTGTAATCGAGTTTCATTTTTTGTAACTACCTACAGTTACATTATTATCAACATGACACCAAGATAAACTCGTACTCAATACAAATCGTCTTGTAGGAGAAATTTAATTCAGAGAATGAAAAACTAGACCTGAATAGAAAATTAATCAGCATAAGTACAATTATCAACAAAATAACTAAAAGCATTATTCTTCAGTTAAATATCTGTATAATTGTGGCCAGATTTAAATTAAAAACATTTTATACATTTTTAACTAGAAAATAATTTAAATTTCTAAATGTTGATGAATTTTGTCAAAGTTAGAACTTTAAATGCTTATAAAAGGAAATTGTGCATATTATGTAGGTACCTAATTGTTCAACTGCTATTATATCGAATTATAAAGGACCTTGTATTTTCAAGCTTTTTGATCAACGAATAAAAATTTATTGACGTTAGTTGAGGATTTGTTAATTTATAGTTCAATAACTCAAGTTGAAAAAACTTCAAACGCTCATAAAAAATTAATTTGGTTTTCGGATAAACTTCTTTTTTTTTTATTAAAGATAGTGAAATTTATGGAGAATCTTGTTTTAAATTTTAAAATCATTTGATATAAATAAAATTTTTTTTATACATTTCTAACTCAAAATAATTTGCAAATTTTCGTGATTTTGACGAAATTTGTCAAAATTCTAACATCAGACGCTCAGAAACAATGTAGTAAAATTGCATTCAACTTTCTCTCTAATTTCCACTAACAACAACATTGCAGGAATATTGCATTCAATTTTCATTTTTTTTGACCGAGTTAATACCGACTGTAATAAAAAAAAGCAGGTAAGTGGTATCGCTTTGATGTACATTAGAGGTGTCTAGGAGGTCGCTGTAATGGATGGTATTAAATTTGAATTCAATGATATCATATCATTGTATACGAAAAACGATTCTGAGCGGAGATGTTATGTCAGTTTAGGATATTTTATATTGTTATTACTTATTATTAATATGGTAGCCGGTAAGTTGAATTAATATTATCCTTAAATTATCAGTGATGCTGGAAAAATATTAAATATACTTATGTAAAATTGGGCGGTTTTGGAACTATAATACCGCGGCGTAGTGCAAGAACGACATTTTTTCCATAAGGAAGTATGTATAACTCAAAATCGATTTTATAATCACAAATAATTTTAAATTATTAACAATTACATAGATATTCATAACTCGCTTAAAAATTGAACTATTGTAAAAAAAAACCTATGTATCCAGTATAAAATATAAATACAGTATATATATTGTTACCTATAATTTTGATAATATTCAATAATTAAATTCACTGTGATCTTAAAACAATAAAGTAAGTATTCTTAGCTAAACCTGAACTTGAACGGTTGCGCAGAAATTGGTAATATTACACTCATCTTGATAGACAAATCAGTGCAACAAATCATCAATCAGATGTGCAGGGCCGACTGCATGAAAAATGCTGGGGTCATTTTTTAAAAAATGTTTAATAGCTTTTAAATTTGAAGGTCAGATCATTTATTTTTAAAAATTATCAGGATATTTCGGGAGGGGGTACTGTTAATCGGTACTGGCATCTTCAATACACTGTCCCGACTTATACGGTCCTGTACTTTAATTCCTCGCTACTTTTTATAATATACAATACTGTTATGTGACAATATAAATGTTGTTCCGTATTTTTCTAATAAAATAATATTTATTTTTAATACTATCCCTCTTGAATATTTTCCTGTAAATAACTGTCCTGTACAATCTAGCCCTATACTTTATTTTCTCGATTAATATGACTTTGGATTAATACGGATCTACGTGTATAAAACATATTAACATACTCAAAAATGCTGTCCTGATTTATACAGTTCTGAGCGATATTTTCCTAATTTATACCGTTCCTGAAAAATACTGTTCCGCGTTATTATTTTATCGTTTTTTATTTTCCATAGTTAATACTGTTTAGAAAAATATCATTCTAAGAATATAATATTAATCCTTGAAAATATCGTTCCTTTATTACACCATTCTTTTTAAATATCTTTCCCTACAAATAATTTAGTCCGAATGATTATTTTCTAAAAAAATAAGGTTCCATATGAATACTTCCCTCGTTTATACATGTGCTCACAGTTTATAGTTGTAAACTTGTAACTTGTTGACTGTAGTTAAGTCAACTGTTTTTATTCGTAAACACTTAGGTAGTTAGGTACCTACCTATTTATTTTTAGTTATTCTCATTAACCTTATAAATTATAACGTAGATAACTATTAGTCTTAGTTAACTTAAGTATAAATATTGTTCAAGCAAACTAAATTAAGTATTTAGCACAAGAAAAATATAGTAAAACCGACTGCATGTTTCAATTCGAATAACTGTAATAACTTGACTATAATATTTTAGTAAATCTGACTTATCTAGATTATAGCTATCTCTATATAGCAATTATAAAATACAGTAAATCCTACTATTTTTTTAAAGTATAAATAACTGTTTTGTTTTTTCCGTGTACAATAAACACAGGTACGCATATGTATGAATGCTTAATTTTTTAAACTATACAATTTAAAGGAATCGATTTATTGTAAGCAACATACTGTACCTATATATCATTGGACATTGATTTATTGTTTATATATTTATATCTTTCTTATTCAAATTTATGTAGGTAGCTAGGGGGCTTAGCTCTGGCTGCTTTGGTCCTGGCCAGAATGCTCCCTGCTCACCTTCTGGCTGAAGAGCGTCGCAGAATCGAGGAGCGCAAGTCAGAAGACACGATTGCAGCAGTCGTCAAGAAGCAGGAGCGGGAGGTAACATTGGCAGGAGCTGTGGAACCACACGACAAAGGTAGCGTGGACTCGGAAGTTGATCCCGGATATCCGAAGGTGGGTGAATTAGTCAAGACTCGGAAATGTGACATTTTACATGGGCCAAGCAGTATCGGGACATGGAAGCTACCAGCTCCACCTGTGGAAAAGGAGGAGGGCGGCTAATCCCCGCTGAACTTACTTTGAGGAACCGGAGGACTAAGTGGAACATACGCTGTTCCATTGTCCATATTGGTCGGAGGGTATAGGTTTGAAATGGAGCAGTGTATTGGTAGGCCACTACGGCTTGAGGATATCTCTAATATCATTCTGGGGCCGGAATAGTAGCACCTCCCAAAAGGCTATGTCGTCATGTCGAGGAAGCGCCAGCAGAGAAGCAGAGGCTAGCGTTTGGCAGGATGGTGGACACGATACTAGGGCAAAAGAAGGTTGCAGAGCACATCAGATAGGCAAGAGGTGGACGGGTAGCGTAAAAGTCTTGTTATTCTGCAGGCTGAAGTCCAGATTTTATGGGTGGTTAGTTTACCCCTCTCAAAAGCTCACCAAGCCAAAGTTATTATTCAGTTATTGCAAATAAGTATACAATTTTGTAGTTTCATTTTCATATGTATTTTCATTAATTTTATTATGTATTTAGAAAAGTCATTATAAATAATTACTATTTACTTTTGTATCAGAAAGGATGCTAATGTCGAGAATTGAAGCAATTTTATTGTCTCAAATGTTGATAATAGACGTGTTATTTTCCACATTATTAAAATAAGTTATGGATGAGTGTATGACGAAAACTAAGGGCTAGGATATTCAAGAAAAATTAAGAATCAATCAAATTTATTTACGATTCCGAAGGTTTAAGATGGGTACCATATAATCAACAACATTATTAAAGATATCAGGAATTAATACTCATTATAATATCCATTTATTTTATGGATAACATTAATACATTAAAAATGTATATCTATATATAGCTACATGCTACATCATCAATATTATACCTACCTATTCTGCTACACAATTTATATTACAACTAATAGTACCTATACCTACTACTTATTAGTTGTTATGAACTGACATCTGATTTTGTAATTTTTGTAATTTTTAAAAAAGTAAATTTATTTCATCATTTATAAAGTCCTATTTTTTTGATGAAAAAGAAAATGTGATAAAAATAATGTTGGGTAACGTAAATGTAATTTAAATAAAAATATTTTATATATAGCGAGCAACATAATTGTATTACTTTTCAAAGTAATTTACCCAACACTAATCCAAAAATCTATTCACAGTTATTGGCTTTTTAAAAACTGGGTTGTATTTTATTATTGTAAGTTTTGTATGGGGCCTGCAAAAACATTTAGTATAGGGGCCTAAAATTGAATTTTTACTAGTTTATAGGTCTATGGCTGTATGTTTGTCTACCCTAAGCCTATATTACTTAAACTGCAAACTGATGCAGATTGTATAACACTTTTAAAAATAAAAGTGGTCGCCGTTTGTAAGACTCGCTTTGGGACCAGTACAAAGTGATGAGACACTTTAATAATAACTTATAACTGAATGAATCTCATAGGCGGAGTGAGAGAAAAAAATTAAATTACATATTTATGAATTTTATTTTACTACATATTTTGTTTTAATATTAATACTTCAATAAATATTACATATTACATAATTATTATTGAATACATTTTAAAATTCTGATAAAAAAATTAAAATTTTAATACATATTATAAAAATAATTATATACATTAATAAAAAATTATAAAAGTTGTATGTATAATGTATTTATTATTTATGAAAAAAAATTGTAGTTTTGGTTTGTTTTGAGTTATAAAATTATATTCCGAAAATATATGGGAAATGTGAAATGTAATACAATTTGTTGTACATACACATAGTAATGCATAAAAACCAATTTATTTCTAAATTTTAACCAACATTTTTTATATTTTACCATTAGTAAAAAACGAGATTTGAATCTTATTACCAAATTGTGTATAATGTATTTAGTTTATTCAGTCAAATCTGAGTCAGACAAGTGACTGAACCTTATATCCACGAGTCTTATAAGCGGCGTCCACTATATATTGTTTATATTTATAATTTGTATACGAGAATACCTACATTTAATTTTTATTAGTATTTAGTATTATAACAATTTTTAGTGTATCTAAGATGATTTTACATTTTACATATTTTTTATTTCATCATTGATCATATACTAATTTTATAGTCATGACCATAATGACACATTAATATACCTAGATTGAATAATAGTAATTGATTATGAAATTAATGAACACCATTTCATGCTGACATGTATAGATTAAAAATTTAGCATAGATTGATCTTTAGACCTAATCTTCTAGATTATTATAATACTAGAATAATTATGATCAAATAGAGAAATAATAATTTTAGTTTAGAAAACAAAGTAGTTACACATAATAAAGTATAAATAATTACAAATTTGTGGTTTTGGGGGTGGTTTAGCATACTGTAACATTTTGACAATTATAAATATATAAAACTTAAACGTAATTGTGAATTATATATATTTTAAAACAAAATTAATATAATAAAATTAGATTACATAAAATATTAATTGAATTGTGTGAGATTAAGATTTACTGTAATAATCAGTTATGGAGACAAAAATTGCAAAACAAATAGAATTTATTGAATTAAAAATAAAACAACATTCATTATTAACAATACTTATAAAAAAAATTGATTAAACACAATAAAACACAATGCATATAATTAATCTAAGTTATTCTAGACCATAAAATTTGGATCTAAGTAGTTTTGAGTTTTAAATACTAATGGGACATAATTTTGGTCAACAAGATTATCAATATTATCATCATTGGCCTTAATGCATCTAATAGGAGTAACTATGTGATCCATAGGATGTGGAGGTTTTTCGAGAATGTTCCTAACTGTATCTACTATACAATCTCCGCAAAAATTAGAGCTTTTACCAATAGCTGGACAATCATTGCAATTCCACCTTGTTCCAATAATGGGAGAAGACTGACATACACAACATGCATAATCAACATGCACAATTGGACAATCTTTTTCGGTAAGTTTGTCTTTTAATACTTCATCTAAGATTGCTAATTTTGTCTTATTACTCATTTCAATATTTTTGTGACTTACATTGAAGTTATTTCGATTAGCATTATAAACATCAACATCATCAATTAATGTAGTAGATGGTATAAATGTGGTTGGTTTTAATAATGCACCAATATTTTTATGACTTAATGATACAGTTTTTTTATTTAAATTTTTTGAATTTGCATTAATAGATTTTATTGAACCAACTTTTTTCATTTTCATATTATACTTTTGAACTCTACTACATACTTGTCTCAAATTTCTTGTACCTAAAGCGTCAGCTATTTTTCTATACCTGTTACTTTCATTTCTTTCTGGTGGATATTCAATTAAAAGTTCTTCAAGACGCAATTGCTCTTCAACTGTCCAAGGTTTTTTAAATGTTTCCGGTTTTTCTGCCTCTGAAGTTGTATTGTTTATCTGTGTTTCTTGTTTATCAGAAACGTTTTTATGTCGTAAATTAATATCACATACTTGTTTTAGTGGTTCATTTTCTGTTGTATCATCTGTTACATACACCGACCAATCAATATCTGGCAACTTATGAATATTAACTGTCTTTAATGTACCTATGTCTTCACGTTTAATAACTTTTTTCAATGTCAAAGAAGGATTTTTTGAAAGGTGATCTTTTAACACGGCAAGTTTTTCAATATTTTGAATTGTTGTACATCTTTGTACTTCAAGTATAGCTAAGGATTTCAGTAAATTTTTATAATCATTATTATTCTTTAATAAATAAAAGTCTGATTCAAAATAAAATTCTGTTGCTTCCAAGGCTTTTGAATCTGATACATTGGTATCATTTGATTGTTTATCCATTATATAAATTAACTGAAAATAAAATAAACATTCAGTCTCTAGAAAAATCTAGAAATACAACAATAATAGAGACTAGCAATAGATATAGCTAAATTACCTAATAATTAAAATAATATTAAATATTATTGATAGTCATATTATACTTTACTTCCAAGTTAATGAAAAATGTACCATCAGTCGTCACTAAGGGGCAACGACTGACGATGCACAGCAATTTTAAAATAATTAACAATAATTTGAAAAATAATTATTGACTGTTTGAACTCCGAGTCCCCGAATTAAACAAAACTAAAAACGCTGTGGTAGTGTAGTCTGTAAACATATTGTTATCATTGTATTAGCAGGCTCGACGATTTATCAATCACTGCACCAATAATATTATACGGCAGAAATCGTACTGTAGTACAGCTGATCGAGTGTCGCTGTTATATTGTCCTATGCTTTAATAATTGTGGTGCACACTGCACAGGTTAGATCATGAACTTTATTCTATAATAATAAGACCAAATACATTTTAAAATTAATTTAGTCATGGGTTAGGTGGTACCGAAAACCAAACAATAGCTGTTAAATCTACGACTGTAATTTATAAAATCGTGCTTAATCAAGTACCCATTTAAAAAATTTAAGCATTTTAAACTGAAAACCAATTAAGTTTTACGTGGTTTATTAACAATAACATGAAAATAAGTAAGATAGGAAAATTCTGATTTCACCACCACGTTGAGTATTTAAATACTAACATTTCTAAAATTGTAAATTTTTAGCATTTAGAAACTCAAAAATACGATTTTTGAGAATATCTACAATTTTGGAGTCTTTGACCATAATTTATAAATTAGGTTAGGTTAGGCTTTTTTTTGGTACAATCAAATAAAGCATACAAAAACACATTTTGGAAAAAAAATCGCTTGGGAAGTAAACTGCATTCGTTCCTTTTGTTCCTAAAGTTTTAATGCAAAATATACTATATTCGGCTTTCTCAGCGAAACTGGCGGACAAATGACAATACACTGATACACTGAACTAATGCAGTAAAATTACGACCCACCATAGAGTAATATTACTCTTTGCGACCCACCTTCGACGACGAGTCGAACCAGCCGTATTATCTACATCGTGCTGAAAACAATCGTTTGATAACATTTCCTAGCAAATTTGTATATTTTATTCCATGACACAAATACCCACCTGCCACCACCACAACTATCCCCATCACCGGGCAATAGGCATCCTGTATGTCTGTGATCTAAAAGAAGAAAAAAATTCCATACTTTGATGTTTGATACTTTCATTTCCCAGTTTGCTTCGCTCGTTCTCTTTAATGTCGTGCTGCGAATTGCGATAGCAATCGTCCCTTGGATTCTATATTATTTTCAAATTTTTTTTTTGTTATTTATTTATCGTCTAAGTAAACATATTTTTTTTTTCTGTTTGTTCAACTATTTGATTTTGTTGCAGCCAAACGAACACTAACGTCGAAGGTATATTAATTTCATAATTCAGTTTAACGCTCGCATAGGTCCGTCGTTTATGTACGCGCTTTAAATTCTCGTCTGTTACGGTGCAGCAACTACAGGCTACAGCAGCAGAGTTTCGTATTCGGTGGCGGTTATCACCGTTCAATAATAACAATAATAATAATAATAATAATAATAATAAATAATAATAGTAATTAGCGTAATAGTTATTAACAAATATACAAATAATAATATCCGTTCGTCCGTCAGTCGCGCACAGGAAATTAACGATATCGTCTTGTACCTCAACAGGAGTCAACTGTTTGGTTCCTGTTCATCTGCACTCTGCTTGGACTCACTGACAACTATAACTGTTTGTCTCGGCGTGTCCGTTGTCGTTTGTGTGTTCCTTTTATGCCCGATATTGCAACCCTAAAAAACTGATATTCAGTTGTTTTGTCGTTCCGAAGACTTGATCGTCGTCGGCATGTCTGAGATGGTCAACGACATCGACAAGTCATCGAGTCCACCGGTTGATGACAACAATGAAGGTAAGCTCTCAACATAATATGCATTACATTTCCAATTACACATTATGTATGTAAGTTTATAAAACTAACTACACTGTTCAGAATAATCACTATCACTGTGGGTAAATTCAACCTAGAACTGGGAACCAATTAAAGTTGTTCGTTTTTTTGCTCATCGCTCTTCATAGTTCTCTTATTTAACATATTGTTTCCTAGTTGCCTGACTTGTATCTATTATCCCCGCTATTATCTAATGTATCAGTATTTTAAAGTATTTTAACTTGTGAAATACACTTCTGGCACATTTTATGGTACCTAAAGTAATCAAAATTTATTTGTATTTAAACTGCCAGGTTAACTCAATAATTAATTAGAATATTGTACCTTATTATCTACCTAAGGTATTTAACATGTCTTATTAATGATTTTAGTTGTATTGGTATTGTTAGTATTAAATTTAAGTATACTAAAAATATTTATTCATAAATAAGAGATAGGGAATCAAATATTATAAGTAAATTATACATAATAAAAAATAGGTATATTCTAATTTCTTATCACTATAGGTATAGATACAGCATGATTCCTGTTTTTAGTTTTATTTTTATATTAAGTATGGGCAGTTGAATTTTGCATAGTTAAAACTATTTTAAGTGGATGTCAATGTATTATTTGTTTTCTTTTTGGAACCCTTGTATGGAATAGATTGAATGCATTCGTTTAAAATCGTTTTTATGATTTTGAGTAATTGTAGAGTAAAATCACCTACCTACCTATTGCAAAAATTATTGAGGGTAATATTTTTGAGGGTTTGACTTATCAGTTTAATACTTTATTATTAAGTAGGTATTTGACTTATATTCAACTTAAAGTATATTTATAAATTTAAATAGTAATAAAATTGTTTCGAGACAATATTTAGACAATATGAGATAATATTATACCCTCAAAAATATTATTCTCTATCATTTTTCTCTATTTTAACTATGGTTGATGTATGATATTATTCTAAGATTTGCCAAAAACATGAAAAAAAATGATTTTACTTTAAAGCATTTTTTCTAATTTGCTCGTGGGTCTGAGAGGGAAAACAAACAATGCACTGATGTCCTCTTTATACATGTATTTATAGAATTTATTATCCCTATACAAGTATTAATTAAGGCTTAATTGTTTGAATATTAAAGTATAATTATAGATTAAAGTGAAAAAATATGTTTTATGAGTTAAAAAAATGTTTACCTACTGTTCGATAATGAGTTATCTAATATATATCTGTGTATTATTTAATGTGTCAAAGTATATATTTTATATATGCTATACATTTTAATTTTTGAATATACTGATATATACTAATTGAAATATTAACCTAAATGCAAAATACTTTTTTGGAATAATTCTCCATGGTTTTCTCTGAAATTTATTTGATTTTATGTGGTTTATATTTTAATATGTTCACAATTTATCTATGATCATTGACAATTATATTGTTACATAGACATGTAACTAGGATTTGTTTTTTTGACAGACTTATATTATGATACTAATGTACCCATGTAAATTACTATTCTCAGAAGGCATTTAAAACAATGTAACAAACTAAAAATTGTAATAATTGTAGTAAATTAAAAATATCCTTATGGCTAAGTACCTAAACAAATCTAATCATATTCTTGATCATAATTAATCAAAAACCTAAGTTAGTAGGTACATAAATAAATACAAATTACTCAAATATTAAAAAATAAAATATATTGATAAGGTAGATACTATTAATATATTTATATTATTTTACTTACTTACATTGTATGGAATTTTCTATGTACTGGAATTTATTGTCTTAAAAGTGCATAACATAACAAATTTATGCTTGGCAGTTCATATGTAGCTTTGTTAGTTTAAAAATGAGAGTGAATCGCTTATTATGGAACTTGATTGTAAAAACAATCTGTGTTTGTGTGTTGGTTGTATACGATAGTTCAATTTTTAAGTGAGTTATGAGCATTTTTAATTTACGCTGTATTATATATGCATAACTTGTTAAATAAATTGAACTATCGTACAAATTCATCATACAACCACAGTAAATGTTCTTACTATCAATTTTCATAATAGGTTGATTCACTCTAATTTTTAAACTAATAAAGCTATACGTAATTTGCAGAGCTTAAATTTGGTATATTACTCAGGTGTTAAACAGAGACAACAAATGCTAGTGTTATGTCCTCTTAATCATTTTTATATTTAAATAAGGGTATCAGGTAAAAAATTTAATAAAAAAAACCATAATCGAATAATAACCATAATAAAATAACCATAACCATAAGCAGGATTTTATGTCAAATGTTAAATATTAGGTACTCTATTTGTTTATAGACGTGATCTTAAGGCTAATTTTTGAACGTAGGTGTTGTTCAATTTCAGTGTTGCTATCTTTGTAACTATCTATTATTGTCAATAACTTATAATATTGCTTTGCCACTAGTTTTAAAAAACTATTGTGTTTTCCAATACATAATATATTATAATTTATAATCATGCATTATCTAAACATGTATCCCTTATAGAAATTGTTGTCATGTAGTACAAATGAGAAAATTAGTTGAATTTTTATTTGATGCTTTATGTTCTTACTTAAGTACTTTTAATTTGTATATGTAAATATAAGTAGTTCAGTTATTTAGTTTTATTCCTTTATCTGTTTCATTAGGAAATATTTTGTAAAGGCATATCAATGCGGCTATAGATTATATTATTTAAGTTAAATTTAAATTAATTGTATGTTTAAATTACAAGTAATATTAAAATAACTAGAATAAAAGGAATATTCACTTTTACTGTTAGTGGGACTACTGTGCTATTTTCATATTGTGTTACACTGGTAATATTATGTAGGTACCTGAATTGTGTAGGTATCAGTGTATCATTAAGTATTCTATTTTTTTCACTTAAATAAATACTCCCTTAGCAATAATTGTAAATGATTGGTATATCTCATATTAATTCAATATTCATATCTTTTTCATATCATAACATAATTGATTGAGAAATTGAATGTACCATTGTGTTAATTATACCTACCACTATTGATTTGTTTCAAGTGTTTTACTTGTTCAGAACTAGACTTGATAAAAATTGTAATTGTTTCATTAGTTAAAAGACCAAGTTTAGAATGGTTTAATTGGTTTGCTGGAACACTGAAACACTTAAGATCTTATAATTATACTTTAATGTTAGATAAATCTTATTTTAGGTACCTACTTAGTTAAGAGTCATTATTAATGGTTGGTATAGTGTTTTTTGAATAATATTATCTAATTAATTATTATAATTTAATTTGATTATTTTATATATATATATTATATATATTATTTTGTGTTATATAATTCTATAATGTCAAATTGGAAGAAAAAATTGAAAGTTAAAAATAGATAGTTACCTAATCAATAATTTTTATTTCAATGCTGAAATTAAAAATTATACATTATACCTACCTGAGTAATAACATTAAATGTCTATTATATTTGTATGTACTTATCAAAACTTATGTAAAATAATATTTGGCTGGGTAATTCATTATAGGACTTGAGTATTAATATTTATTTATATTTAATAAAAATTCATTCATAAAATAATTATTTTGAAGAATAATCATAGTTTATATTTAATTAATATAGTTGTTCAGTGTTTATCAATCAAAAACTTGATAAAAATGCAACATGAAATGTTCTTTTGTACTCATTTTCAAGTTTTCATTTATTTATATATTATTACACATGACTGACTATTTATTTGAGTTCAGCCAATATTAAGATAATATTATCATACATTGCTTATAGATTGGGGGAAATAATTCACTGATTATTTATTATTAGAAAATAATTTTAAGAAATTCCAACTTGTTTTTATCAAGAAAATAATTCAGTTACCTTTTGTAATTTTTATTAGCTAGTAGTTAGTACCAGTATGAACTCCGTATTCAAAATGTTTTATTTAAACAATATTTATAGAAGAGTATTTGATTTTAATTAGTGATTGTGAAATATTTAATAATAAAAAAATATTTGACACCATGGAAAGTAGAGTTAATAAAAGTCGCAAACGACACTCTGGTATTCAAGGTCCTATGTTAAAAAAAGTTCTAAAAACCATGCCTCATGGTAAGGAAAATATTCCAGAACTACCTTTAAATTATAACAATATATTTACCAATGGCCTTAAAAAATGTTTAGGTTTGTATTTCTGTATTACTTTATACTTGTGTATTTTATTTTGAATAATAAGTTATTTAAACTTTTAAATTTGTCATACTTAAAATAAGTATAAGGTATTAGATAATATTTATTTGTTTAACTAAATATTTATCCAACAACTGTATAGGTATAACGACAAATGAAATGGAAAATGAAACAACCATTGAAGATAAAGTTAAAGTAGTGAGATTTAAGCAGCCAACACAAAAGTATACCAAAGAAGCATTATTGGAATTACAAAACTTAAGCAGTTCCAAAGTGCGCCCAAAATTTTTAGACAACTTCCCTGACTTAGATGTAGAACTTGCTGGAAAAACTCGAAAGTGAGTTTCAATTTGTGTACATTTTACTTTTATAAATTTAGGTACAATAAATTATTCTTGTCCGTTTTATAAGACCACTTAGTTGTTTAATAGTTTGAATAATTGTTGCTTTTTTTGTATAGGGGAAGTAGACCTCTTGCAAGTGGAAAACCAGCTACTAATAGTAAGACAGTAGCATTTGATTTACCACCTTGGCAGAACCAACCAACAGAAAATGGTGAACCTAAAACTGAGGTTAGTATTGTTATTTTCTAAATATTATTAAAAAATAATATTGACATACGCAACAGTTGGTAAAAAAAACCCTTCCCAGGCTGTGCCACTGCAATTGTATTTACATAGTGATTTTTTAAGCATGCTCATCCTCATCTTGAACTTCAATAGTACATTTATTCAAACTCTGATTAATAAATTCGGAATGATTAACTGTGAATCAATGGGCAACACCGAGTCATAACATCTATTTACAACCTATAACTGTAATGTAAAAACTTTAAAAAAACAACAAAAAACTGCACACTGGCAAAGCCGGGTCATTTGGCTAGTACATTTAATATGGAAGTCAAGACTATATTGACATTTTTGTCATATCTAAGTATTAATTTGAAAATATTTTACAGTCATTTTTTTCATCTATGTGGTTTACTCTAACTTCTAGTTTTGGCTAAATAACATTAAGTTTTATAATAAAAGTATTTTATTATTTCTTTAAATAATTATTGTAGAATTTTGTAGAACCTTAAATAAAATGCATTAATTATTTATTTTAATCTATTACATTCATCAATATTTAGTTTATTCAATCATTTGCAACTTTTCTATTATTGTTAATATTAGTATTGTTTTGTTTTATTTTTTACAATAGGCATTCAATGTGCTCATTGTTTATATTTTATATAATTTATGTACCTATGCTTTTAGAACTATATTTTGAATGTTTTAGATCTAGATTTTCATTGATATATGATAGCTGATAGTAGTAGTTCCAGTCATTTAAATAGTTGCAAAACGAATATAGTAAAGGAGAATTCATTTTAAATATTATTTTCAAATTTTGTTGATTTTAATTTGCCAACAATTAAAATTGTTCAATTGACTTTTATAAATAAGATGTTTTGTTGTATTTGGTATTTTCAAATACTAAAATGTTATTAAAATAAAAGTTGGATATTATATGCTAACTTTTTTGAATAATTTTCGATTTAGAAAAAACCTCAGGATGCTAAAGATCGATTGAAGAAGGATCAAGATATTGTTTTGAGTCCTCAAAGGCGTAGTTTCAATTCAGGATGTTTTGTTACTATGAATGCTTCTAGTGGACCAAAACGTTCAAATAGTCCTTTAAATACATCTGCTAAACAGTATGTTGAAAGGTAAGTTACGTTTTATTATATTAGTATTATTATTATTATATATTTTATTATGAAATAAAAATTTAGGGAGCCCATTCGAGAACCTCGTCGAGTTGGCAGTGGTCGATTAATGAGTCGAGATTCTTGGGATTCTGGTTTTCGTCAGCCAGAAAATGGAATTGCAAATAATTACAATTTTGGTAAAGGTGGCTTTCGTGAATCTTCATCTCATAACTCAATGTCTGTATTTAAAACTATCTCTTAAATTGATTGTCTATTATTATTATTTATTCAACAATATATTTTTTAGTGAACCTCGTAGAAAAGATTTTGAGTTTGATAGAGGAGAAACAGATCGTTATAGAAATTATGATCGCTTCAAAGGCTCTAGTAATTATGATAGACGTCGAAATGATTCTTATCGAACACAAGAAGAACCAGAATGGATGACAGGTTAATTTATTTTTATTAAAACATTTATGATGTCAAAACTCAGTGTCGTACACATATTTTCAATGGAAAGGGCCATTAAAAAAAATTATATATATAGTTGAATATCAAATTATTTTTAAATTTCATCCATTTTTATATAACTGCCGGTATAGTTAAAAAATACCTGTGGGATTGTACAAAACTGTGTGTTTGTGTGTATGCCACTGTCATAGCTACATATTATTGTCTCCATATTACAAACATACAACATGAAAAATGTGCATTCAGCAGAACAATTTTATGTTGTTAGGTTAAATATTACAAGTGAATTAACTTGTTTAGAAACTTAAAGGTAAGAATAACTAGGGCACTCAAGCTTTTATTAATAGTTTAGTTTTAAAGTGAGTTCTAAGTTCTAACTTGCAAATATATAAAATATAAGAATTTTAAAATTATTGAACAGTTTAAACACTTGTAATATATTTTTTTTTTTAATCAAGTTTTTCTATACAAAAGTAAAACTCTATCATACAGATTAATAATTTTCCCATTTTAAGAATACTTGTGGTAAGGTCAATGAGTTAAAATTGGTTTGATATAATATGGCGTATTGTGCGTACATTGATCTAATTGGGTACCTTAAATTCTTTATAAGTTAATGCTATGGAATTTTGTATGACGTTTTTATTTAAACTTATATTGTAAACAATTTTGTTTTGTTGTACTTCATGAGATTGTAATGTATTTTCTTTGTAGCCTCCCCATATTATCAAAATAATGCCACACTCACATGTGTTGTCTCTGTCTTACAAACACATATGGCTAATTTTACGTTTACAATAATACATTTTACTCTGTAAATTCTAAAATTAGAATGAATTGACCTATTATAAAATTTAAAGGTAAGATTATTATCTAGGGCGTCTCCGAGGTATTTTTATTGAGAAGCAAATTATGACCTTTTTAAAACTACATTTTAAAATTATCATAACTTACTTAAAAATTAATATTATAAATAAAATCTTACGTGATGCACTAGATCTTACCCTTAAATTTTATCTCGAGTCAGTTCACTAATTTTCAAAATAACAGTAAAATGGATTGCTTAAAATTTGTTAAGTTGTACGTTTCTAAGACAGAGACAACACGCGGGTGTAGTGTCCTCTTAAACTATACTGAGAAATTGGTTTACGTAATGCTTGATATACAGTGTGCATTGTGTCTGTTGGTTTGATTTTAAAGATGATTGATCTTTAATGCCTTTACTAGATTATCATTATGTATATTCCAGAGTAAATTATAGTTGATAAACCTAAATTTTTAATTATAAGAACTTAAACTATTTTTTGGCACTTATAGCTTGTAGAATTTTAATTTGAGTGAATTATGATTTCATTAATCGGTAAGTAAATGAGTTTCTGATTGAGAAAGCAATAAAATTTGTTTTGTTAATATTCAAGGATAACTTTATATTATTTATAATTAATAATACGAGTCAATACTTTGTTCACTAATTCTTCCTTAGTTTTAATTTTCTCAAGTGTTACTGGAAAAAAGTTGACATGCATTGTCTGCATTCATAACTATTAAGCCATCTAATTTTAGATTTCATAAATCTTTAATGTATGAAATAAACAAAACTGGCAGGATTAAAGCTAACAATAAAGTTGTTTTTGCTGAATTAAAATTTGTTTTGTAAGATGGTTTGGCGTCCTTTTAAATAATTATATAAAATGATAATATCACGCTTGGTAATTGTTTAACTAATTAATGTAACTTTTGTTTATAAAAAGATGGCCCAACTTCTCAACACGATACTATTGAATTGCGAGGTTTTGAGGATCCCCCTGTAGACAAAACAAAAAAGAAAAAAGCAAAACCTGGTAAGTGAATAATGTTGATCACAACAATTTCATAAACAATTCATTTTAATACATAAAAAATATTTAGCTGCCCGTACTAAAAAGAATTCAATAGACTCTACATCTACGGAATCAGCAGCTGCTATAAAAGGAGCTAATGAAAGTAAAATTAAGAAAACCAAAAAAGAAAAAGATGAGGATAAAAAGAAAAAATTGACAGTTGACAAACCAAATGTAAAGTTATTCAAATTCACGTTTTTAATTTTATGGAAATTATAAATTATTGTTCTGTGTAGAATGAATCTGAAGATCAAACTAAAAAAGATTCTGAATCAATAACTGGAAATGAGTTCATTCAAGCTTATGATGCTGAGCATAAAACAAACGATGTGTTCAATGATTTCAATATTGATGATTTCTTAAAGCCGGATTACTTAAGTGATATAATGCACATTGAAGGAGAAACTGATGGGAATGTAGCTGGTTCACGATTCCGCCAATGGTTTACTACTCATGATAGTAGTCGTGCTTCGTCTGCTTCTACTGAAATGTTAAATTCTGCAACTAATAGTAGGATATAATAATTCTCATAATTTATAATACGAATATGTATATTATATTTTATAATAACAATTAAATATAAAAATTGTAGAAGGTGCAACAGATAATGTAGAAGAAGACCCTAGACAGTTATCATCAATGCTCATGGGAATGGTTAAACATAACAATCAAAACGAATCAAAAAATTTAACAAATGCATATGACTCCATTACATTGAGTGAAAATAATAAACTTCCTCCAGCTATCATGGATGTTATTAAAGCCAGTGCACCTCAGTTGTCTGACCCTAAAGCTGCCATACGTGATTTAGGTAGTTTTTATGTCTTTATTTTTTAAGTAATTAAGTTAGATGGTTATTGTTCAACTATTATTAATATTATTTTTTTTTTTAGAGGTTAATGGCAAAGTTCAAAGTCTTGAAGAAATTGAATCTAGGTTGCGGATGTCTAGTGGGCAACAGAATGGTTATTCACCGCCGCATAGCAATATTCAATTCCATGAAGAAATGAAACTAAAAAAACTGCAAAACATGAAAGTAAGTGTATATAGTTGAAAAAAGTACTAAGATTTTTAACTTTGAATAATTTAATAGTATTAAACTTAATAAATTTAATATTTAGATGCCTCAAAATGAGCACGAAAACTCTAACAATGATGGACATGTAACAAACCCCTCTCAGAACTATTCCATATTGCAGGTATTATATTTTATTTTTGTAAGACTAGGATTAATTTTTATCACTTGTCAGCAAATACAATTTTTTTAATAAATGTTAAAATTATATTACAGATGCTTAATAATGCCCAAGGTCCACAAAACTACATGGTAAACCAAGGTCAAAACCCTGCTGGTATGTATTTTTACTTTAAAAATAACACTTTTAAATCATACAATTGTAAATGGTGGGGGATGAGGTGACCGAGTGGTCTGACGCGTCCGCTGCGACGGTTCGATCCTCGGCTACCGGGCGGCATTTTTCTCCGGACAAGTCGCGGTGACCGGAGAACAAGTGCTGCCATCCCCCACCTCCGGGGCATGGCAGAAACCTACGGGT